TTGAATCTCCAATTGATCAAAATAAATACCCTTCCTTAAATGAAGCAAGGGCTTTAGCAAAGAAAAGAACTATCGAATACCACCGAAAGAATAAAACTAGATATGACATCAGATTTGTAGAATCTAAATTTCAACCTGGAGATTTTGTCCTTTACGAGGAATTTGAATACCCAAATACTAGAAAATTGACTTCACCCTATTCAGGCCCTTATCGGATTATGAATAAATTATCTGAAGTTAATTATGAAATCGACAGGGAAAATTTTCACACGAAGAAAAAGAAACCAACTGAGATTGTACATGCGTCAAAATTAAGGTTCTATTATCCACCCGAGAACTTTAAATTACATCATGAATAAATCAAAATTTATAAATCAATAAACTATCCATAACCCTTCTTTTAGTTTTCATCCTGTTGTCCCCCTTAATAGTTGATTTATCTCTCAGTGTCTGAAAAGTTTGTCTGCCCTTTTCTTTTACTGGGCTCCTTCAAACTTGAGTTTCAGGTTCAATGCACTTTCCGTGTGGGAAACACTCAATTGAGGCTATACTACAAGTAGAGTACTATACCCTCACATTTCCTTGAGCTCATGTTTTCCTATGTTTGTGTTATAAATTGTAGCAACAGTTGAAAAAGTTAAATTTCAGTTGTTGAAATTTCTTCTGAATTTCATTTTATGTTTCTGCAGCATCGTGTACAAAAAACTGGTATGGATGTTGGAAGTTAAATTTTGTTTTGTTATCATTAATAAGAGAAAAATAGAGTGACAAAATATGTTAAAAACCTAGCAAAATGTGTATTTTCAACAAGAGTATAAGAGCTCTAGTATCGTGACATAAAAACTCAAATGTTTTCAGTGCCAATGCTGATCCATAATTCTAGCGCTAATTAAATGATCCGGAGATCTCCAAAGACCAGTAAAAGACTGAAGATGAGCCTGAATGACAACTCTAATGATTGTACGGACTCATACACAAACTGTGAATGGCATGCCCTAAGATATAAACTTACAAATTCAGTTATATTACTATTTCCTATTGCCGCGTAGCTAACCAGCAATATGTTATTAGTGCTTTATTTGTTCTGCACTTAGTTACTATATTATAATTTCATTAATCATTTATTATATTTTATATACTGTATTAATTATATTCAAATATTTTATGTCATATTTTATGTAAACATTTTGTGTGCCTTGAGGTAAATCCAATCAGTTTTCCTACTCACTTAATTTCCTAATAACTAAATTTTCTGCTCTCACTATCTGGACTGTCTTGGGTCGACGGCCGCGACTGCAAGCCTTTTCAGATGGGGGGGGGATAATCTGTAATGATATTTTTAAATCAATTGATTAAATTAAATTCTATTAATATTGCTTAATAATGTGTTGGCGATTCTCTACCTAAATTGCATCCCTGTTCCTAAATTTTGGCGAAATCCTTTCTTTAGTATAAAATATATTAACCTGTTGGCGCCCGCCAAATCGCCAAACTCATAAATCTGTCATATTACATAAAGTACTTAAGAACACTCCTGATGAGAAGATAGCGTCACCTCGTGATTTCAATTAATATCGCTGATTGGAGGAGCTTCGTGACGTACACATATGTATAAGTAGGGTTTCTGCTCAAGGTACGAGGAGAACGCTTACGAGATGGATGCTAAAATAAACTTACCACTTTATATTCCAAAATTTGTCTCATTCCTGTTGCCCCGGCTGCACAAAACAAATAATGTATGAGAAATTACATTTCATATATATATATATATATATAAAGGAAAACAAAGTAATATGCCTAAAACAAAAATTTAACCTGTCCTACACTATAGCTGCAAGACTGAAGTAAATTAAATATAAAACATCCAAAATTAAAATTAAATTGGAAAAAAAAGGGGGCATTTCTGTAATAATACTAATAATTGCAACAAATAATATTAATAATTCCTTTATCAATTTGCATTTTGCATTCATTGGGGAATTGCCTTCTTTTGATTCCAATTTAATTTTGATTTTGAATGCTTTATGTTTAAATATATATATATATAATTACAAAATGAATTTTATTAAAAAACAAAATATAATCATGCGTAGTATTTTCATGCATTAAGCTGTTGAAAAATTATCAATAAAGACATAAAGAAATTTAGAACCAATTTTTTTACAAAGACCAAAAATTGAAATTGATAAATAATAAACTTCAAATAATCCTATAAATGGAAAAAAAAAAAAAAAAAAAAAAAAAAAAAAAGAATTTAATAAATGTTAAAAAAAAACTTTCAAATAAGCAATACCCCAATTAAAATCACGGAAATTTAAAGAAGAAAGAACATAATAGAAGAGGAATTCAATCAACTTCAGTGCCATTTTGTTAGGAGAAGGAACACTGAAATCAATTGAAACCTCTCTTCCACAAAAATCATTGCGTTTTTGTATCCAGAATTAACGGATGAACCATTTCAGCGTATTTTAATTATAATAGTTTATCCAAAAATTCTGGCCCTTCCCCAAAGCAAGGAAAAAAGTAAATTCTAATTAAGATTTTGTACCTTAAGTAAAGAGAATTCTATTTAAAGAATTCAAAATGTAAGTGAAATAATGAAATACTTTAGTGAAAAATGCAAATCAAAATTTTACCCTTAAACAAAGAGCGTATAATCCAAAGAATTTAAAACGTAAGTGAAATTATAAAACTATTAAAATTATAATTAAAATTATAATTATGTAAGAATAGACTTACATAAAAACTCAAAAGAAGTAATTAAAAATTTCAAGCACTATCAATTAGCACACTATCGAAACTATGAATAAGATTGTTATGTAGTGAAGTTTAAGTTTGCCATTTTAGCTTCACTGGCAAAACTAAAATACTGTGGTGAAAAAGGAATTGCTTGAAAGGCAAAAAATTGGAACCAGAGATTGAATTTTGAAACCAAAAGAAAAACTTTTTAAAACTTCTAGAAGAGCTTCAGCCACATGTCTTCTTCTATTAATTTTTTTTTTTTTGAAGAAAAAGATTAATTTACTAATGAAAATGAAATTTAGTAAATTCTGACCTTTTTTAAAGCAAAAAGGGAATAAAGAAAATTCATTCAGTGAAATGAATGAAATGATTCAGTGAAAATTTAATTAAATTTTAGAATCTTTTATTCTTTAAAATTAGTAGACTCAATAAGGGTGCTCAAAAAGTGGTCAAAAAGGTTTGAATAACAGTTTTGTAGAAATGAGTAGAAAAATCCATAAAGTTAAATTATAGATTTTTAAATTTTTTATTTAAAATTACAGAAAAAGGCAAAAAAAAGTGTGAGATAAGACGCAAAGGAACTAGTGTTAGAAAAGTAAAATGTATCATGATGACAATATAGGAATATTGTCAATATAGGAGGCCTTTGTTTTAATAACAGAATGTGTAATTAAGAGAAAAAAATAAATAAATATAAAAATATAAGTTTAAAAAAAATTTTTAAAAAGACTATTAATGAGTTTTATAGAAATTTTATTTTCTTTTAAAATTTTTGGGAGAATTAGAATTTCTTCTTTTTGTGTTTCTATTTCAGTGAAACCTTTTTTAATTCTGCTAATTTGCTTTTAAACAGTTTGGGTGGATATTGCTATTTTCAGTGAGATTATAATTGTTGAAAGTAATAATGTCATCAATATATAGTGTGTTCATATTTACTGAAATCATTATCAGAAAGGTTCTTTAGGAATATGAATTATTTAAAAAATAGAAATAAGTTACAAAAATGAGTTGAATATGAATTTCCCATTGGAATTCCTTGTGTTTGCAGGTAAAGAAATTTTGAATGTTTAATATAGTTATTGTATAGTGAAAAATATAGAAATTCTTTCCATTTTTTGTAAATCCAGAATAATAACTATTTGGGGGGGGAGAATTTTTATTTCTAAAAGATTTTCCTAGATTTCTTTGAGTGGTAGAGACGTGTAGAGGTTTTCAAAGTCATAGCAGTTAATATTGTAAATTTTAAGATTTCTAACTTCTTCAATGATTTTCAAGTTGTCATAAATAATCTAGCAGAAGTTTTTGTCACTTTTAACTTGTTCTAAAACTATATTACAAATAGTTTTAAGTAGATTGGTAAAAATATTATCAAAATTCTTCTTGAAGGTTCTAGTACTGTTGGCAATAAATCTAAATTTGACAGGATTTTAAAGAAATTTTATTAAGGCATAAAGAATGGCAAATCTGCTATTTGTAGGAAAAAGAGAATTTCTCCATTTTTTGTGAAAAGCAGAAATTTTGTTAATAATATTTTATTCTTTATTTTTGCAGATATTATAGGTAGAAGAATTTTTCAGTTCATTTTCAATTATAGAATTGTAGATTTTTTTTCATAAAGTACTGAAATTATTGTTTGCTTTATCAATTTTTGTTATGGTAAATTGTTTTTTTATTTGTGAAAACTTCAGAAGCAAATTTTTCCAGTTATTAATTCCTTTAAATCGTTGAATTTTTTCAGTTTTCGTTTTGCTTTGAGTATTAATCTCATTCTTCCATTATTTAAATAGATGTGAAGGTAAACTTAGTTGAGAACTTACTTTCCAGGTGAAATTATCAATATCTGTAGAAAAACTTTCTATGCAATGTAAATTACAGGATATTTATAAAGTCGTGGACCCATTTTGATGTTTAATAACTCATAAAATAATAAAGATAAATTAAAATTAATAACATAAATGGTTAATGACTAAAATGTTAAATGACTAAAAACGTTTCATGACCCATGTCAATATAATAATAATTGGTTAACATAAATGGTTAAATGACTAAAAACGTTTCATGACCCGTGTCAATGAACTTCCACGTGTGCCCCCTTCGTCGCACGGAAAATATCAAGTCGATATTCAATTTCACGCCAGGTACCGGCAAGCATGTCTGCATCCACAGAGGCTATTGCAGTTGTAATTCTGGCTTTTAGGTCATCAATGTTCGACACTCTCCTCCTGTAAGCATTGTCCTATACAAATCCCCAAAGGGAAATGTCTAGTGGCATTATATCAGGTGATCTGGGTGGCCAAGGAATTGGATCTCCTCGCTCAGTCCATCTTTCTGTAAAATGGTCATTCAAAGAACTATGAACGATGGTACCCCAATGAGGTGGTACACCATTTTATTGCAAAAAGACAATGTGGCTGAAGCTCTTCTAGTAGTTTAAATACAAAGTTTTCCAACATGTCTAAGTATATGACTGATGAGACCGTCTTTTTTGTAAAAAAGAAAGGCCTAATGACTCGGTCATGCATTAGTCCAAAACCACACATTAACCTTTGGGGAATCCCCTTTTGTGCCTCACGGTACTCATGGGGGTTTTCAGATCCCCATATGTGCACATTATGGCGATAACCTCTGTTTGAAGTAGGCTATGGCAACCATTATACCATGTAACATAAAAGCAACAACAAAAACAACACAAACATGAAATAATGATCTCTTTAAGAAATGACTGTCAGATATCTATGTTGATTGAGGAGTATATCAGTTAAAATTTGCATTGCAATGAAAGACTTACCAGAGTGTTGCTAAGCTGCAAAAAATTTTAAGTAGAAAAACTTTTTGTAGTAGACCCATGGCAGTTTTTTCCATTCTGTGAAGAAATTTATCATTGCCCACTTATTATTACTGTCAGTATTCCAGGAATATCTGAAATTAGAAAAATTATATTTATGTATTAAAATGATAAAAACATATTGCATTTTTATTTATATTATCTTTAATGCTTCGGCTGTCAAATTACAGAATTAGTCATTTTAATCAATCTTTTTCCTATGAGCCAATAATTTCTTTGGGCAGTGATTTAAAAATGATAATTATAATAAAATAAAAGTTTAACACTTCTTTTAATTGCAGATGCATGTTATTTCTTTTGTGTAATATGTATGAAAATAAAAAATTAGGTTAACTTTGAAGTTTATTTTTCGTGAAACAATACAAAATTGTAATTGTCTAAAAATAATGAATGTGGAAAATAATTAACTGGCTCTAAATAGATTTTAAAAAAATAGTCCCAGCTTTTCAAATCAGGATAGAGGGAATATTGGCCTGTAGTCAAGGGCCGAAACACTCTATAGATGATTCATTATTTTAAATAATGTAGATAAAGAATGTGATTAAATGTTATAATGCTTATTTTTGCTTAACTGTGTTATTTTTGCTGTTAGTTGCCAAAAATATTTACCATGAATCTTTCTAAAAAGAATATTTACTGAAATTGCTTCTTCCAACAAACAGGTTCTGCTGTACCACCTTACAATACAAAACATGACTATCAAAATCATAACTAATTATAAGATGAAACAACATCACCATTGGTATACTAATCTGAAATCTAAAAATTCTGTGTTTTATTTACTTTATTTAAATTTATTTTGTGTCTCCCCCTAGTGTACACCATCATTTATTCAGTGCTTTGAAGATGATTTGATTAAAATTACTCTGCTTAAGAAGGATTCCAGTCTTCGCATCCTAGCACTTGGTGGTGAGATTTGTCCTTCTTGGAAAAAATTACAGAATTGGAGAGCTGAAGGAAATAAAACAAGATTCTTTAATTTATATGGTTTAACTGAAATATCTTGTTGGGCAACCAGTTTTGAAATAGATCCCGAGAATCAGTAAGTCTGCAGGTTTATATTTATATTTGCATATAAGTAAATGCAGAAGACTCCCGATTAATTTGAGTAATACCAGGGATGACATTTATAGTTAACCTGAAATCATGGCTAATTTAGTAGCAGTTACAAAAAAGCTCATGAGAGAGGAATAACCCATAGTATTATTATCAAACAAGTATTTTAAAAAATTGACTTGTTTCTCCCCTCCTAAGCAGTTTTATATGGACAATATATTCATAAGAATTTGTTCATTTAGTTATGTGAATTAAATCAGTTTACAAAACAAGAATACGTATCAAGAGAGAAATAATGATAATCAATTTATACAATTCTTGTATTTCAAAAGGAGTCATTGGGAAACAGAAGATTATAGGCTGTACACTTAATTAATTTTTATAAATTCACAATTATTTTTAATGGATGATTTAACTATGTTTATATATTCCATATACAATCAATTAAATAGCATACTGTTCTAGTTAAAAACAGTTCTTAAATATAGTGACATCATCTGCTATCACTGCTGTTATCCCACATATTTTCCTTTTTGCATTTTCCCCAAAAAATTTGCTTTATTCTGATGCTTTGACATAGTAATTTTTTCCATTATTCCATAATAAGTTTAACTTTAATTTAAGACCTGATTAATGCAGCCTCAATTTAATTGGGAGTTGACTGTAATCTAATTTTTATTCAACGCATCATGTTTTTTTATTCAGCATATCTTTCTTTGTGTATTTTAAAATTACTAAAAGACTGTTGTTATTATTATTTGTAAATTCTAAGGACAAAGGTCTTTTTAACTAAGGAATAAGTGTTAGCTGTAGAATTACTCTGAGGTATTAAACTTGTTTGTTCACATGTTTCTTTTAATGTGCTTAATGGTGCTGCTCTTTTGTTTCCAAAAATATTTGATGACAGCAATAAAGCTATGACCCTGGGATGTACATGTCATGTTTAGTATCATTTTGTCTAGCTCCGTATTTAGAAAAGATGCTCATTTCTGATCTTAAGAACATTATTTCGTAATGTGCTTCTATGAAGCTTTAAATAGGTCCGGAGAGATGAAATGTATCTTTTTGTTAGATTTTGGGACAATGTGAGGAATGAAGTGAGCACAAGACACCTCATGTCAATTTTGGGGGGCCATGCTACTGCTAATGACCTTCTGAGAAGTGTTTTTGAGGGAACCTCAGAACTAAATCAAAAGCAGTTGCTCCAAGTAGCCTTGTATTGACCAAATGCCAATCGTAAATTCCTTAGAGATTAGAAGGAAAATTTAGCAAATAACTGTCATATGTTAGAATTGGGACCTGCAGTTTGCATGTTGTTCACAGTGCCTTTAGATCTGGGCATAGAGATGCTTATTGTAGTATAAGTCAATTATTTAAAGACATGCATAGAATATTTGAAAATAATCCTGCTCAATGAGCAAATTATATTGCCAACATTAACTGTACAACTTTTCCACTAAAATTTTGTGAAGATGGTATGAAAACATACCTATTGCTGAGAGTGCTGTTGATATTTTTCCTCATGTGGAAAGATATATAGAATCACTCGAACTACCAAAGACTGTATCAGTTGGAAGACTGAGTGAAGCAATTAAAGGTAAGTTTTTTGTGCCAAAAATCTCTTTGTTGGTTTCTCTTTTGGGAGTTGTCCATCCATTTCTAAGATCATTTGATCCTGTGGGCCCCCTTTCTGCACACAACTTTCAGTAATATGCTAAGTCAGCTTCTGTCAAAATTTATCAAAAGAGATTTACTGCAAGAGGCAAAAACTCTTGAAAATTGGTAAAGATAGATATTCTGGATCAATCCATTTATTGTAATGTTGCAACTATAGATGTGTATTTCTTCTGGTGTGAGTTTAGCTAAACATGAAGTGTCTGATCTAAAAAAGAAAGAAAGCAAGAGATAAAGAAAATTCAGAACTAATCACTTTTCATTGCTGAACCTTTCTGGTTAAGGTTGCATCAAAAATAGTTGAAAAAGCCCATTTAAGTATAGCTTGGTCAAATACATATTTTATTATGTCTTAAGCTCATTACATCTAATGAATTTTTATGTGAGAAAAGGATGGAGAGGTTACTGTATGAAAGTGAATGGATAAATTCTGCAGTTGGAGATTTTACAAAAGTGCAGTTTGTAGAATTATTATTCAGAAGTAAAGATATTGCGAAGACATTTTTATTAACTATGGTGCAGTGCAACTTGGTTAATAGTTCAGATTTTGAAGAGCTTTGGAATGTTGCAAAACTAATTCTGCCATATGGCAGTGCCATAGTAGAAAGTGGTTTCTCAATTAATAATGGTATGTTGGTGGAAAACCTTCAGAAAAAAATTTTAGCAGCAATACGACCTGTTTATGATATAAAAAGTAAATGGAGGTGTGATGAATGTTAATACAATTTGTGGTATGTTACCATATGTCAGATTTGCTGTGGTGCATATCACAAAGCACCCAAAGAGAAAAATCTGCGTAAAAGAGTGAAAAAAAAAATTATTGAACTAAAGGAAGGCACAAGTGCAGATTTAAAATTTTGGAGTCAAAAACGATTGTGCAAAGATGTTTCTTCTATTGTCTCTCAAAGGGCAGAATTAAAACAACAAACCTGGTTTTGTGTTAATTTTTTATTAGCATTTTTTTCTATTAATGTTTTATTTAAATATCTTTTTTTTTTCTTATGTCACCTTCAATTCTAATAAAAAATTTCACTTAATCGGTATTATATATGCTTATGTTAAAAGTTTTTCATCAAAAATCTGTTCACTTCTTTAAAAAAAAACTGCTTTTTGACCTTTCAGAATTTAATAGCTGTCATAATATTACAGCAGTGTGTTGTCAATTGTATGAAAAATAATTAATAGGGTAGACGTAGCTGGTCCCATCATTGTCATATTGTAAACAATAACTTCCATTCTATAATTTATTTGTAATACTTTTTAAATGATAAAGCTGTCATGCATGACATAATTTTATCGCAATTAGTGGTTAAAAAAATCCTAGTATTTAAAATTTTATACATAGCATTGAAAAGTTAAACAGTTTTCATTTCTGATTTTGTTTATTACTTAGATGAAATAAATTAGGAGCATTTGATTTCTTTTGTGAATGTATGTTTTTATGCATGTAAAATTAATTTTTAAGTTGCACTTTTAACTAATTATATTTATTTATGATGGAATTTTATGATAAAAGTATTTCAGTATCACAGACTGCAAATATTTCAGATGCACTAACAATCATTTCTGGTATTATATACTCTTTTCATGTAATTAAAAAGTACTAAATCTTGAATGTAATTACAAGCTAAAATACAGAAAGCTCTGATTATACGAAAAATATCATTAACTTTTGATAACAAGACACAGGTATTACAAAGCTATCAAGTAAATGACTTGTACAAAGTCTTAGAAACATGCAGATATATGCATAGATGAAAATATACATAGGTATGTGCTTAGTAAGTTTGTACTTGAGGGTACAAGCATTATTTTATTTTCTATACACTTATCATAAAAATAAAAGTAGATTTATAATATTTGGCACATCTTTGTGAAATTGAGTTTTTTATTTATTTATTTGTATTAAAAGCCCAGATTGGGTTCATTGGAAAAAAAAGGGGGAGCAGCAAAACAGCAGTGTTCTGTCCTTTGGGGAGACAATTTAATTTCAATTTTTAAATCTTTTCTGAGATTTAAAAATTGATGCAAAAAATTATTAAATTTGCATAAGTGTGTATTTAATTCAGATTTAATATTTTTGGAAAAGATATATACTTTTGTAAAACTTAAATTTTTTAATTGTAAAATAACCAATAATAATGTAAATATGAAAATCAGTTTATATGCAGATAATGAGAATACTTATTATGAATTATCATAGCCCTTTTTATTACTTTTTGCATACAAGTGCACATTGTGTGCTTAAAGCTGTGAAAATTATAAACATTATACAATTTTTTCTTTTTATTTTGTGCATATACACATATCCACATAAAATGAGAAAACATCATGTACCATTATTTAAGTAATTATTAGTACTATAATTTAGCGTATTGTAAAATGTTAGAGCTGTTCCTTTCAGACTGAAACATTTTCTGTTTATTAATATAAATTTCTGTTTTTGCATTAAGTTTTTATCAGATCTATGTTAATGTTTTGAACAATTTTACATATCTTATATGTATAACAAAGAGGGATTTTTTTTCCCCCTGTCTTAAAAACTTTCTTTTTCAAGAATGCTGACATCAAGCATACCGTTGGGAAATCCTCTTCTTGATACAAAGCTTGAAATAAGAAATGAAGCTGGAAATATATCTGAAGAAGGAGAACTGTATATAGGTTTGCAATTGAATTTTTAAAATACTTTTTGACAAGAATTTCTTATTCATATTGCCATAGCTTGTGTTTTAAAGATTCATAGATTTGCCAGGATCATCAAATAAAAGTGCACTGTCATAAAAATAGTAACACTTCTTATAGTATAATTTTGAATATGTTCTATACCTGATACTATTCTGATTAAGTTTAATTTATCATAAATTCTATTAAAGAACAAATATAAAAAAGGTAGTATTTTTATTTTTATGGTGATTAAAATCTCAACTCTGAATTCGGACATCTTAGCTGTAACTTTTAAATATTTATCATTTTAAATTCTTATTGGCTCTGAAATTAGAAACATCTGCAGCTATGACTTTGCTCTTGAAATTTCAGTATTGTTTTGTGATTTTCAATCAAATCTAAAGTTATTGTTACCATATTTAGGGTAACAGTGCATTTTAAATAGTGGAAAAATTTGTAAAAGTTTCTCATGTGTAAAGCTCTTTTTCTTCGTATTACAAGACTTGCTGACTGTTATCATTATATATTTTTACTGATATTGTAATGTCTTATTTTCTTTGAAACTATTTATGAAGTTACTACAGTCAAAAGTCGTTAATCTGGACTCGTCGGGACTTCAGCGATTCCAGATTATCGATTTTTCCGGATTATAGATCATCAGTTTAAATCTGGTAAGATGGCATGCAGAAATTACAAAATTAAAAATATGAAACCGTAATTTATGAAATAAAGAACAATTATGATCTAAAGGGTATCAAAATTTACAAAAAGAAAAAGCTTAATATTTATTTGTTTACTGTATTAAACATTTCTTTCAATGTAAGTTGTTTAAGTTGCTTCGTTTTATGTGATAATACTTTCTCTTTAATTCTATAAACAGACATAATTTCTTCTTCAGTTACAAAGTTCCGCTGTTAAAGTCCTATAATTGCTGTGTCGAGAATACCGACTAATTCGTCAATCGAAATATTTTCGTTTTCAATAACCTCTGTCACTTTCTTCTTTATTGGAAGCGAATTATAATGACGAGGAATTTGATTTAAATCATATCAAAGACAGAGTACATCGAGATGAAATACTACATTTAGTAAGGAATTATAAGACAAATAAAATAAAAACATTTTCCCTGAAGATAAGGATAGTGCTGACAGATTAACTTCCAATTCATAGCGTGCCGTGGCGTTCCCCCCCCCCCTGGGCCGCAGAGCAGCGTGAAATTGATAAACAGATTTCGGAATGGTTTGAGAAACGAAGGATATGCCTTTATCCATTTTTTGCAGCAATTCCACTTTTTGTTTAATGGACTTCTAAACATGCTTTGGCTTTGTAGATACTTTACATATTAGTAAATATATATCGGAAATTCTATTTGACATAATCGAAAGTTCAAGCTCACTTTTATAAAATTGCTCCAACAGTCTGCAAAAAATAATAAGCCGGATCCAATTCGAAGATTAAGGAACAACGCAATCTGCAACATTAACTGAATTAGATAATTTTAGCTTAGCTTATACTGTCCGTTATACATTAAACGCGCAAACAGAAATATATTACGCGCATGCGCACATGCACATTCGCAGCCGTAAAAGCATGCGTCAAATCGACGCATGCGCAGAAAGTTTGTAGCTTTGAGGTCCTAATTATAGATCATTCCGGATTATGGGTGTCCGAATTAACAACTTTTGACTGTATGAGATTTAATTGTTAAGAATTACTGGTACCCATCCATATTGTAATTAGCACTGTTTGGACATAATTAAAATTGTAATAAATTTAATGTATATTTTATATTCAACACAGATAATATAAATATATCAATCATAAAAGGATTCACAAATATTAGATTATAATATGAATCATTCTGCTGTTTTTAGAAATTGCTGATCTGATGTAACTAATGTTCTTTAATGAATTTATTTAATATTTAAACATCATCCAACTTTGAAACATTGGAAAATGTTTTTAAAATGTACGTTTGAGAAAATAATTTAAAATATACTAATAAAATTTTAACTGAAAAATTTAGTATTGAAAATAAGAGCTAGGGAGTATTTTATTTTGTCTTCTGTAAAATAAATATTTAAGTTTAGAATGTTGTTTGAATATAATGAAAACAAGTTTAGTGTTGAATAAGTTTTTGCTACTTTAAGAGTGATATAACCGTCTTTTATAATGGCTATATACACAAGTAAATTTTTATGCACAATTTATGATTTTCAGTTTTTGATAATTTTGATATACAGAAACTGTGGATCAAAATTTTTCATTCAAAAAATTATATTTCTTGGTTTTGCCAGTTTTCTTCCAAAATAACAGTATAAAAATATATTAATTTTTTTATGTTGTGATTTTATTTCAGGTAGTGAAAGTAGATGGTGTGTTATCAATGATGAAAAATGGCCAGAAAATTTTAACATTATTATGAGACCTACTGGTGACATAGTTTATAGTGCAAATGATGGTCTTTTATACTTTGAAGGTCGTAATGACAGCATCATTAAGTATAAGGGACAGAAGTTGTGTTTATCTCTGGTATGCAGTGCTCTTGAAAGTGTTCCTGAAGTTGCAAATCATGTCGTATACTTCAATCAGACATTGAAAAAACTATATTTATTTGTTAGATATAATTTAAAGGAGCATAGTTCTTCAAACCAAATAAGAGACAAGATAATGGTGCATTTACGGAAATCAATTTTGAATTTACCAGCAGTTGAAGTGGTTTTTGTTCCATATATTCCTCTAACTAGGCATGGTATGATATAAAACTTTATATCATATAAATTATTTTTTATAAGAAATAAGTATATTTTAAAAGTGCAATGTAAGTATGGGGTGCTCAATTCAAAAGTAAATCACACATTTAAAGGTATATAATTTTAAACACATTTTTTTTATTGATTCTTTAATGTTTATATTATGTATAAAATATTCGTAAACAGATTTGATTGCTGAGGTATCAATTCTTCAAGAGCAGAAATATTGAACATGATAACATTTTGTGTGAAGTATTTCACTGTTGTTTTCATATTGTGAATTCAGTAAGAATTCAATTAAGAAAATCAGTGTTAAAGAACACATTTTACTAGAAGAATATTATTTCAAGATTAAATGTATATACTTAGTGGTATGTAATTATAGTGGCATATAATTTTCTATTAAATTTGGAAAGGAAGCTCTGAAGAGTTGAAACTCGGAATCATTACTGCTGAAATCCAGAATATAAAGGAAAAGCTCCATAAGGTTGCTAGGAACACAATGAAATGTGTAGAAAATATGCTGGACTGAAAGAATGTTATTTTCAGCACATGCTACAAACAAAATGTGCCTCTTAAATATGTGGGCATACTTTAAAACTGAAATCTTATATATTCTGCTAAAACACATAAGTTGCAGTAATGAATTCAGAGTATATTTTCTGAACTGAATATTTTCCAATTCAGAAATTCCATGTTATCCACAGTTGCATTGAACAATTAATTTAGTACAGTACTAAATTATATATCTTAACTCTAAACTGAAGTACACATTTTAACTCTTTACAGTTGAACAGTTTGAAACAGTTTACAAATCTCTAAACAGTTTGAAAACAAAATCTCAAATACAGCACTTTAAACCTTGTGTTTTATATTTTAAAAATTATTAACAGGATTAAATGGGTACTGTAATCAGGCAAATAATATGTGAATCACTTTATTAAGTTGGTAATTTTATGCATCTTCTTTTCTATTCTTTCCTAATACATTCATTCTTCTTCTGTCCTAACACATTCAGTATATTTGTTTAAGAGGCTATTTACCTTTTGGTTACCCATCAACTTTTAAAAGATGTTATTTATTATCAAATTTTATGTCTTTTGAAAATTTTAGCAGCTTTTAATTTTACTTATGCATTTGTAATCTCAATCATGTGTGGGTCTCCACCCCCCCCCATCTGTCTGAGCATTTGACCAAAGAATTTTTACCTGTTTGTAAAGGCTTATGATATTGGAAACTTTTTTAACTTTTCGACTGAAAATAAATAATATAAAAAAATCATTCAGGTACTGTTTTATTAAGACCAGTCATTATTTACAGTTTTCCAAACTGTATCATTGACCAAGTCAAGAATTTTTCTATTGGGTCATTCTAGAAAATGCTATAGTTTTTTTTTTTTTTTTTTTTTTTTTTTTTTTTTTTTTTTTTTTTTTGTTTTTTTTTTTAAATAGTAAATAGAAATAAGCAGTATAAAAACACAAGAAAATTTCTTTGAAAAACATTTTGCCATATTTCCAAAAACTGAATTTTTCCAAAAGACATTATTAGATTTATTCCTAAAGAAATTATTGAGGTGTTCTTTGAGATTTTCCATGGCTGTTCAGAGAATTGTGAATTGCCCTGAAGAGACGAAAATCTAAGAGGTCAAGGTTTGGTGAATAGCAAAAGTAACACAAAGCAGCCTAGCCTTTCTCAATTAGTGTTTGTCTGACATTCATCCAAATGCAGGGCTGAGCTTATCATGATGGAAGACAACATCATGATGATTGGTCAGTTCTGGGATGCTTTGCTCCATTTTCCGCTTTTATATCTGTTATTTAGAAAACATATTTTTTTGAACTTAATGTCTGATTTGGTGGCAACAATTCATAATACGGAATTCCTTTGCAATCCTGTCATACATACAGCATTCTTTTTTGGGGATGCAGCCCTTCTCTCGCTCTTACTAAAGAAGGTTCTTTTGTCTTACACTATGATCTTTTTCTTGTAATATTGTTGTATAATATTCACTTCTTATCTCCAGTGTTATATCTGGAAATTTTTGTTTTTAATACTTTTAACCTTAAACTTTTGATTCATAGTGCCGAACAAAATTAACAAAAAAAAAAAAAAAAAAAAAAATCAAATAATTTACATTTAAAATCTAATTCATAACATTCATATATCATTTCGACATTCTTATAAACATTCGTATAGTGGTAGTACAATTTAACTTTTAGGTTTTGCGTTGTGAGTAACCTATGCCAAAGGAAAATCAATAACCCCAACCCCATTCAATTAAACTCCATGTTTCTTAAAAGCCTTCCGGCTCAAACAAATGGAGGGACATGACAGACCACAGTAAAATATATACACAACATAAATACACAAATACAATTAAATTTTAAACACACATTTATTAAATTCTTGACTATTTTATATAATTAAATAATGGATAACTGATCAGTAATCCTACCACATATTTTTCTAAGCCAAAATAACACATAATACTACACCAAATTACAGCTTACATTAATTAAGATTAACATTATTTTTTTTTCAAATTAAGTAGGTGTAACAAAATTTAATCCTCCTAAAACTGGCATTCACTTAAAAAATTATAAATAACTTCTCAATTTTCTAACTGTAATATTTAATTTATATAAGTAATAACAATATACTGGTAGATAAATCATTATTAACTGTTCTGCATTCGGGAAAACTAAGAAAGAGAGAGAGAGAATATACTTAAAAATTTCACTCACAGATGGAAAACAGTTTTTCCTGATTAGCAGGATCCTTAGTGTCCAATCCACATGGAAATGAGCCAAGCCCATTTTTCTTTCTGTGACAACCCTTTCTGAAGCGTCTAAAAATCATTAGGAATCACGAGTGGAAATTACAGTCTAATAATTCTTCAAACAGCCAGGAATCGCTTTAACTGTCCATTAGGTGGGAACCAATAGTCCAATTTAGAAGGATCTTTTATCTGTCCATTAGGTGGGAACCAATAGTCCAATTCAGAAGGCTCTTTATTTTCAATTCAATAACAGGTAGCTGAATATACACCAGTTTTTAGCACAATCACGTGCATCATCGAAGCGGCGAGGCAACATTTATGCTGAATGTTTCGGAAAAAGGCTCTTGGAGATTAACCGGCGATTCAGGTGAAGAGAGAGAATCTGTGCTAAATTTTCTTGGTAGATTTTTCTCTATACATCTCAATCAGCTCTCAGTAAAATGCTCTTTGCAGCTCGCGCACATTTCTTTAGACATCTCGCAGGAAAATGTTCCTTGCATCTCTCACACAAAACTTAACATCTCACCGAAAAGAATGAATCCACTAGAGCAAAGAAAAACGGTACCCAGTCCGTCTTGCTCAGGAAGACCGCAGCAGAGCAAAGCCCCCCACGATCTTTCTTTCTCTTTCACATTGCGGCTGCCCAAAATTCACTCAAATCAGACTCCGCTACAGCCATCACCGCAGCCCGCTGGTTCAAGTGGTTGGCAGGAGCAAGACCCGAAGGGTCAAGTCCCCACTTTTTCCTCCTCTTCTAGAAAATCAGAATCAGAATAATCTCTAGCCTAGTGCAAGCACCCAGGAAATCTCGGTTTCTCCGCCTGAGTTCATAGGCTTTCAAAAAAATCATAAAATTAAATCTTACCAATCCCGGAATTTTACGTTAACTAAATTGAGAAAATGACACACCCATGACGAATCAAACACCAGAAAAATCTGACAATGCAATCCGAAAAACATCTGTACTCACAATGTGAGAAAAAAAAAAAAGACCCCCAACTAACAAGCGAAACTAAGCTTTACGAGCATCCGATTACCTAACCCCCACTGTCTTGAAGTACGCAAAACTGCAACCTTAACAAAGCGACAGGAAGACAATTTCCGTTTCACACGTCATGAGTTAAAAGGGCGACACACAACGCCCTACTGCCTCCACTGTTAGTAAAAGGCTATAACCAATAAACCAGATGTGTGTCCTCGCAACCGTCTCCTGCCTTTGTTACAATTCCTACTCAAGAATAACGAGTTAAATAAAACCTTAAGAGCTTAAGAATACTTTTTCCCAGATTAAAATACACATGAATACAAATAAAAATATTAGAATAATAATGACTTGAAACACATATTAATAATTGAAATTCGTGACATAACACCAGTAATCAGCTGTTTTATTTCTTTTAAGCAAAGAACCAGATGCTGAATCTCAAGTATTTTGGGGTAACTAAATAAAAGCCCACAGAATGAAAGCACACACGACAAAAGCCCACAAAAATAACCCCACTGTGTTAATTGCCCATGCATCAGATACGCACAAAGATGAAAGCACACAGATAAAAGCCCACATGAATAAAAGGACACATAATTTTTGTCAAAATGAAATGCTTTTGTGATTGCTATTATAATAAATAGAATATTTGAGTCTGATTTTTAATGTCTGAAAATCGAATATAGTTATATATTTTATTACTGCTTTATTTGTTTATTATAGAAAACAAGCTTTTCTGCCTTCTGATTAAATGGTTAGCTTCTGATTAAATGGTCTTTTGATGATAAATCTGAAAATTAATTTATTTTATTTATTTGTTATTGATATTTATTTGTTTATTTATTTTGTCTGGTTGAAAATGAAGAAAATGTCATTGTGAAGTTACTCAAATGTTATGTTTAATGGTATATGGCTAAGACTAATTATAGGGTAATTTAAAAAATATTGCAACGTGGGGAGGTGTTATTTAATAAGAACAGAATTTTAAAAACAGCACAGAATAATTTTTTATAGTTATAAAAATAATTTAGTCTTTAAATTAAATTATTTTAATTTAAAATTAAATTATTTTAAATTAATAAAAATAATTTCGTCTTTAAATTAAATTATTTTTTATAGATTATTTTTAATATCCTCTTTAGTTCATGCACTATAATATAAAGCATAATCTTCAAGGATGGAATTTTACAATTAAAAATTAAACAAAAAACTCTTAATAGCAGTGATAAAATTTTGTTCCTGAGCTTTCAGGATATTTCTTTTACAAATATCCCATCATGAATTAAAGCTGTTCTTTGCTCATCTTTGTTTGTAATTAATAAATTCATCTAATAATTTCAGGATGATAATTTATACTGATAGTTTATACTGTACTAAATGTTAAGATCCTAATTTTTTAACTTATGGTAAATTAAAAAAAAAAAAAAAAAAAAAAAAAAAAAAATCTTCTTTTAAAGAGTACAACAACTCTTTGTTATAATTTTTTGACAAAATATTTCTGAGATAACAATCTTTTTAAAATATTAAACAATTTGTAAATTTGTAGGAATTCGTTTAATCATAGCTATTTTTCCGAAACATTAAATTCTTTTCAAATTACACACATGCTTTGGTTCTTTGAAAATTTGATTAAGGGAGCTATTTTCCAAGTGTACTATTCAGATAATTATATTCTAATTTCTCGAAAAACTAGTATGTAATTTGGGTAAATTTGATGTATAGCGAAAAGTGTAATATGGTTTAGAATTATGAATATTTCTTTATACCATTTATTTTTCTTTTAGAAATTATTAAAATTAGCAACTACTCATACATAAACAGATAAAGTAGTGATAAATATGTTATACTGCTAGTCAAATTAAAAAAAAAAGTATACCAGGAGAAACTTGGAAGTACAACTATGATTAAACTTACAGGTATAAAGATTAGAATAGATTATTTGAATTTGACCAAAGTGCATGCGGCCTATCTGCCTGAGTGGAGGAATGCCTTCATGGGCGATTTTTAAAAGAAAACTGGATCATTTTACACAGGGAGAAATTCTTAAAAACCAATCATGCAGCCCACCCATTTGCCTGAATTCAAACCCAGGTCAAACTACCAGTATTCAGCACTCTTAACCACTGTTTAGGGTCTGAAATTATAAAGAAATGGTAGTGTTTAGTTGAGCTACACTTCTGGATCTGTTTAAAACAATCTTTTTATACCTGGCGTATAATGCACACCCATAAAATCTTGATATTATTTTTTGTATTAAAAGTGTATGTTTTAGTCTGTAATATACGATAAATATCATAAAAGTAATTACAAATATTCAAACTATAATATACTTATTAGTTATAAATATAAAATTCCTACTTGAGTTAGTAATTTAAAAATTATTTGTGTTACATAACAATAATCAAATCTTAGAAAATTGTTTTCTTTTTTAAAATTGTTGCAGTATTTCACTACTTCAAAATTTTGTAATGTTAATTTTTTTCAATTATAACTAATAACAGAATCAATTCTTTCCCAGAAATTTAAATCAATGCTGAAAAACCTTTTGGGTAAAACATATTTTATGCTTTGTGAATTATATTATTGCTGAGAATTCTATCATTTTTTTATTGCATTACTTAGAAAACAGCTATTTTAATAAAGGATCTTTCCAATACTTATCAAATAATTAAAAGTACATAATGAATAAATTTGTTTAAAAGAATGCATAATCACTTACCACAAATTTTACTGAAAGTGGGCAGAAATCCTAGAAAGAAGAAATCCAGTGTTGGCTACAAATGCCTAAATTCTCAACCAATTTTCTAATATCTGTCACTTATGAGATGTCAAAGTAAAGAAGGTAAACATTATTAATTTTGAGCAACCAGAAAGGTCTTTGGAGTGTAAGCTGGATAATATTAGTTGTACTGTAAAAAATCTGTAATGTCAAATTAATTTATTGTAAGAAAAGATCATTAACATATGCAGATTTGCAACTTCAGATGTTTTCTAAGGCTTCTGTAATCAGAAGATTATAGTACATGTTAGCACATGTCTATTCAATTATTTTTGCTGATTAACTTAATGCATAATCAGTATATTATGTAACATAGCAGTACATTAATGTGTAGACTAAATGAACTAAAAATTGGCCATTGTAATAAATATCAATAGCTGAAGAGCCAAATAGCTAGAGACTGATCTGTCTATGGAATACTTTTCACCTTTGAAAGAAATAAACTTTAGAAATGTAAATTTTTTGTACATTCTTTAAAACTTATTGACCAAGTGCAAATCTTAAAAATATGCATTCCTTACAAAATCAGAACTCTTATTCAAAAAAGCTTAACAAGCTGGAACTTTCAGGGTTAGTTTCTAAGTTTCATACTGAAGAATATTAGTTATCATCTGTTATAGCTAAATTTGACTGGTGCATTTGTTTATGTTAGAAGGCATTACCCTGCCAGTGAGAGATTTCAGTTCATTGTTTCAACGTGTATTTCTATGGGCGACAATTGCAGTGCTTATATATACACATAGGAAAAAATTCATTGGCTAGAATTTATAAGTTCATAATTTCCTATGCTAGCAAAGATGCTCAAAACCTTATAGATGATGAAAAATTAGTTAAAACGTTTTACAGGAGCAGACTGAAATAATTTATTAGCTTATTGTTTCAAATCTAGCAAATTACTTTTAAAGTAAAGTTTATTTATAATAAAATTTGTAATATTGTCAATCATTTTATGTAACTTTCTATTCTATTTATTTTGTGCAAGTTCTTCTGTCATGTTAGGAAAAGCAGACTACAAGAAGTTACTTGAAATGTCTACATGGGAACAGTTGTCCATTGTTGAAAATACCTGTAATGTTAACTGTGAAGAGCTAGTGTCTTCTTTATGGAAGGTATTTTACAAAATATGTTCATTGTGTGTATTTTAGTTTATGTAAGTAAGATAATTTATGAGATCTTGCTTTATTTTGTTAGAATGCTGAAATAACATTGATGCTCAGAATATTCTTGTTAATTACATATGCAAAAAAGACATTATTTTAGTATTCAGATGAAGAAAATTCCATTTGAGCACAAAATCTGATCAGATAAATCTCTATATTTTACAGTGCTTTGTTTAAGGAATACACTATTTCCCCAAAGATTCTATCATTTAATGTAATATTATTTTGATAGTTGTATTTCTTCATAGTGTTTAAGGAATTTTACTTTCTTGTTTAGTAATTTGCTTTAACTCTTAATCTGTCATTCAGTATGATGTTCCATGAAATACTTTTCTGTTTTTAAATGAATGAAGTATTGTTTCTCCCAGGTCTTTATGCTGAGAGACAGTGGCCCTAACAGAATTTTTGAGTAAGATAATTTTATATTTTGACCTGCAAAGGATGCTTTGCAATCATATATCTAAAAATTATATGTAATAAATATATTGTACATGTAATACTTGGGGCAGTTTAACTTCTAGGTTACAGTTTTAAAATTGTGTTCTGAGCATGCAGATATTATTATAGAGTACAGTATTGCATGTTTTAAATATGTAACAACAAATTTTTAAGAAAAATTTAATATTGTTTTTGTGCTTATGCCTAAAAATATAATGTTTAATGTATCTTACCCAGCTCTTTGATTTCTGAAAATAAGTTATAGTCACAATCTATAAAAGGATTTTGTATTGTCTTCTTCCGAGACCTAATTTTCATTGATGGTGCCCTTGTAGGCATGCCTTCTTCTTTGTGAACAGCTCATCATCATTCATAATCTGTTATTGCACTTCATCACAGTTTATTGTGATCCATAATTCTCAATAAGATTCATTCTGCTGCTGTATATATCAAGCATAAGTATTTTCAAGGTACATGCAAAACAGATCACAGATATTCATGCAAGATGGTCTTAGTAGACTTAGTATTAATTCTTAGTTTTGTAATAAATCATAGTTACAGAACTAGGAATTAATATTGAGTGCATGAAGATAATTTTGCATTAATATTTAGGAATGAAGTATCAAAATTAATAAGCATAGAACTTAATGTGCCTATTACCAATATTTTCAACTGTGCAGTCCATTAATCCAATTAGAACTGGATAACCTCTGCATAGGTCTTTTCCAAGGACTGTTGACCATGTTAAAATAAGACTTCCTCTTATATTCATGTATATTCACTTTTCCTTGGTCAAAAATTATATGACAGAATAATTAATACTTTCATTGCTTTGACCTTATCATTCATTTTCATGGCATTGCATCAAAGTTTGAGGGATACAGAGTATAGCTGTGTATTGATAGAGAAAAAAAGGGCATTGAAATATGCTCATGACATTTCAATTCTTTTATACTGTTGCTTCACAGTAAGCTGAGAACTTACTGTCTTCTGTATGTTATTCTCTTCTACACTAATCTGTGCTCATATTTGGCTTTGACATTCAGAAAGTATAAATTAGATTGTTTAAGTTTAGATAAGTTGAAATTTTTTTACATGAGTTTGTGGCACATATTTTATGTAATCCTTATTTCAATTTGAATAAGCTTTTGTTATTATTTCCAGATTTTTTGTATAGATTTCTGATAATGTGAAAACCTTCAGATTATAGATTATAAACTGTGTTGTTATTTTACTGATCGATAGGTGACGCCACTAAAATTGTTCTTTTTACAGATTTTTTCTTTCCGTCATTTTATTCAAATTTGCATGGTCAGATATATTATTAGTTAATAATTTTTTCCGTTTAGCAAAATGTTTATTTATTTTTACTTTGTTTTATGCTGTGTATAAAAAAATTTTCAATGTGTGAGTGAACGAGTGCATTTTTTAAAAAAATTAGATTAGCTGGCTTAAATGTTTCACCACTCAAATTACTCGATATTAATATAACTAAAAGTGAGTCCCTAAATGCTATGGATATAGATTATATCAAGAATTTCATGCATATAGGAAATGAGGCAGATAAGATACCTCTTATCTGTTTTCTGTTTTATAGGACAAAATACACAGGATTTTGTACTGCTATGTTTAGCTGTTTCAAAACTTATTTACAAACAATTTGTTGTAAGTCGAGTATTAAAAAAGACAGATAAATTTAAAAATACTGTTGCTACTTAAGATAACAGTTATTTCATTTGCTTCTTATTTTAACTTTTTGTAATGGTGGGAAAAAAATCTGTTTGAGAGTAACAAAGATTCGAAGACAGCATTTTTAAAACTCTTTGCAAATTCAGTGGAAAAATTGCATGTGAAAGAAACGATAAGCATAAACATTGCTTTTACAAACAAAATAGTCTGAAAAAGAGGTGCCACCATCTAGTATAAAACTGATTAACTAATTAAAAAAATCTGGTAGATCACCATTTGGGACAATATCAATTATTTTTTCTGAGTTTTTAAATTTTTTCAGTTGAAATTTTTACCTGACTTTTTTTCTTTCTCCTCGTAAGTAATTGCCAAAGCATACTCATACCTTACATACTTAATCAAAATTTACAGAATACAAGATAAGTATGTTTTTTAAATAATATTATGTACAAAGAAAGTAATTAGGTAAAACATAGGTACTAGACAAAACATAGTGGAGAGAAAAGGGAGACATATTTTTAGGAAGGAAAAGACTCTTTTATAAAATTCATCAAAATATCTTACCAAAAATAATATATCCTCCATCAAAATAACTTTCAAAGTAATTTTTATGTTCCCAAGACAGATAAGTAAATAATAAACTGCTATAAATACCTATATTGTGTGATTTCTCCTAAATTTGATTTCCCGATTCTGCCATTATGTTCCATGCTTGTGATATTTGGTAATAGTGCTACTAACAATTAACACAAAATGCTAAAATTGAAATTATTATATTTAACAATAATTTCATTTATTAATATTCTTGATCCAATGTTCTTTACTGCTTTCTGGTGATAGAAAAATATCTACAAGGGCTATTTTGAATAATCTATGCCTATTTGCCATCAATGTCAACAACTCTGCTGACTGCATCAAATAACTACTGAAATTATAAGGTACATTTAAGGAGAACTCAGTATTTAAAAAAGTGTGGATAAATAAATTCTGTGTATATATTAAACTACATAAATTCGAAATTCATTTTAAAAGAGAACAGAATATATACCCCAAACGAAAGACTTGCCTAAAAGAAAAAATTTTGCAAATTCACTATCCATATTTACTGTAGAGTGAAAGTGCTGACATCTGCACAAAAGATGCTAAATAACTTCAGTTATAATTTTTTTCCCCTTCAATCAAAGTATGATATTAACATGTTTCCGTTGAAAAGCTTAGTTGCATGTATGTGTAAGAAAAACTGCCATGCTGAATTTCCTGAAAATCAAATTTGTTGTGTGCATCCAAAAATGAGTGCAGATTAAGTGGCCATGGATTATCAGAATTCTGTATGTTTTGTAATTTTAATCTGATCAGTAATCGTTTTGTTAAAAAGGAAAATCTTACCAATTGTTATAAGATATGTTTTCAATTTTCTTATTATTATGAAGTTAGAATTTCTGTATTGAGCTGTACATTTTAAAACAGTATATCTATCTCAAATGTAAAATATTTAAACAGTAAATGCTTAATAAGAGAATTTTATTTTTTCATAATATAGTACTGCTTCAATTAATTTATTATAAAATATAAATACTGTATAATTTTTTCCCATTATATTATATGTTGTTTTTCTTTACATATTAGATGCATACAGATTATTCAGAGTTTATTAATAATGCATTAAATGTAAAAAAAGCATAAGAATTTTAAAAGTGAGCAGTATTCAATCTTAGATCGGTCTAGCTTATATATTTTTTTCCTATTTAATGAAATTTGTTGATAATCAGAATTATGAAAAATAATAAATATATTATCTGCCTTCTAATAAAATTTTAACTACTATATATATATATATATTAAAAATCTCTTACGATAATGTACTGTTCTAAGAAGAGATTGAGATAAAATTATTGAGTTCTATGGATTTTAATTACACTCATGTCTATAAATTAAGGATAATTCAGAGTCACGCGGAAATCAAACTCTAAAATAAATATATCACCTGTAAAATCACTACACACATCTTCAAGAATCATATGCAAATTTCAGGAAGTAACCAGATGACACCGATGGTACGTCACAATGATGAGAGTGTAAGAGTGATATATAACGAATACAGGCAAAGAAGTAAAATTGTTTGCAGGCGCTTTATAAACATTTCAGTGCAATAACCGAAGAGTTATGACACAAAGGACGCATTTGGATGATTTTTTACGTGGTAGAATTATCGGCCATCTGGAATGTGGGCGTACCCAACTGGAAATATCAGACGAACTTGGAATTGCCCAGAGTGTCATCTCCAGGCTTTGGCAACGATTCCAAGATGATGGTAATGTGAGTAGACGTTACAGCACAGGTCGCCCCAGAGTTATAACGCCGAATGAGGACCGGTATTTGGCAGTTACTGCCAAAAGAAACAGGCGGAGCACAGCCTCAGACCTGTCTCGTCAGCTCTCTTCAGCTACTGGTACAACAATTTCAAGTGTACACCATGTACAGACGCTTAGGGAAGATTGGTCTATATGCTCGTAGACCTGTCAGATGTGTTCCACTTACTGCAACTCACTGTCGCTTGCGGTTAGCCTGGAGTAGAAGAGCATGCATTGTGGACACCGCAACAGTGGGCTTGTGTGATGTTTTCCAACAAGTCCAGGTTTAGCTTGCAGTCTGATTCTCGCCGGACTTTCATATGGAGAGCTCCAGGTACCCGTTACCACCAAGAAAACATCATTGAATAACACCGTTACGGTGGTGCAGGAGTGCTCGTTTGGGGTGGAATTATTCTGGTTCCAGAACTGACCTGCATGTTCAAATTGGAACCATGACAAGCCAAATCTATCGGGACATCATTCTGGAACAACTTGTACGTTTGTTTCAGGGCGCCATGGGCGCACAATTTGTGTTTATGGATGACAACGCCTGTCCTCACCGTAGAAACATCGTAAGCGAATGCCTTCAATCGGAGGATATCACCCGTATGGACTGGCCAGCATTCTCACTGGACTTGAATCCAGTAGAGCACGTGTGAGACATGCTTGACCGACGAGTTGCAGCCCGTCAACCTCCTCCTACATGTCTACCAGAACTTTGGAGAGCATTGCTTTTTGAGTGGTGTAATATCCCCCAAGATCAGATCAATAATTTGATAGTCAGCATGCCTAGGCGTTGTACAGACTGTATTGCATCGTCTGGGAGACATACAATGTATTAACAATCATACCAACTATGTAATATTGGTTTTTTGTAAATAGTTTTTTTTTTTTTTGGTAATTTGCTCCAGGGAGAAAAATCGCTAATATTTTTAATAATATCAAACATATAGCATCTTTTTTTGCTCTTTACCTTTTGTTTAATAAATAAGCTTTACAAATAAGTCAAATTTGTTTTCCTTCTAACTCTTCCTTTGCCTGATTTTGCATTATCCTTAATTTATGGACATGAGTGTAATTAAACTTCGAAGGGCTTAATTTCGTAAGCAGACATGGCTTGAAATACACAATTAATCATTAACATGCAGTCATCTTCATGTGCCATGAAGGAAGTGCACAACAAAGTTGAAATATTCATGAAAGGTGGAACATATGCAGTTAATTAGCATTTTACAGCATGTGTACATTACATGCAAGAGTAATGGCACTTCAGCACAATATGAAAACATTGTCCGAAATATCAATTTTTCATTTGAAAATTGCATTTAATCTTCCCCTCCCCCTCATATGCAGTTGTGTGTTGGAGATAAGGTTATGCCTTGTGTAAGGATTAAGAAATTTCAACAGCATACCTCAGAGTTCAGTTGTTAAAGAGCCTACCAAGTCTGTAGATTATTGTACTGTGCAGTTGCTACTCACATGCTTGACCGACGAGTTGCAGCCCGTCAACCTCCTCCTACATGTCTACCAGAACTTTGGAGAGCATTGCTTTTTGAGTGGTGTAATATCCCCCAAGATCAGATCAATAATTTGATAGTCAGCATGCCTAGGCGTTGTACGGACTGTATTGCATCGTCTGGGAGACATACAATGTATTAACAATCATACCAACTATGTAATATTGGTTTTTTGTAAATAGTTTCTTTTTTGTAATTTTGCTCCAGGGAGAAAAAATCGCTAATTTTTTTAATAATATCAAACATATAGCATCTTTTTTGCTCTTTACTTTTGTTTAATAAACAAGCTTTACAAATAAGTCAAATTTGTTTTCCTTCTAACTCTTCTTTGCCTTGATTTGCATTATCCTTAATTTATGGACATGAGTGTGTAATTAAACTTCGAAGGGCTTAATTTCGTAAGCAGACATGGCTTGAAATACACAATTAATCATAACATGCAGTCATCTCATGTGCCTTGAAGGAAGTGCACAACAAAGTTGAAATATTCATGAAAGGTGGAACATATGCAGTTAATTAGCATTTACAGCATGTGTACATTACAGCAAGAGTAATGGCATTCAGCACAATATGAAAACATTGTCCGAAATATCAATTTTTCATTGAAAATTGCATTTAATCTTCCCCTCCCCCTCATATGCAGTTGTGTGTTGGAGATAAGGTTATGCCTTGTGTAAGGATTAAGAAATTTCAACAGCATACCTCAGAGTTCAGTTGTTAAAGAGCCTACCAAGTCTGTAGATTATTGTACTGTGCAGTTGCTACTCACATTGGTTGAAATTTCAATGACTCTTATGAGAATTTGAAAGCAGTGAGTCCAGATACTCATAAAGAACAATATGTGGGATCTAAGCAGTTCTCATATACCAATGCCTGAGGTAACAGACATTTTGACATCATTGCTGTTTAGGATCTTTCAACCACAACACACTTAATATGAGTCAGGAAACTGGGTATATTGCACAGCATGAACTATCTGCTCATTTGCTGCTACCACTTCAGCTGGTGCCACTAGAATATGGCCAGTGTTTTGGCTTCCCATGACATGACAGCACAAGACTCAGCCCCTACCATGGTGCAATGAACACTGCACAAGGTTGCATCAATGCGGCACTTTTGCGAAAAAATAGCACGTTTGCTTATAGTGTCATATCCGTCATATCTGTACATGGAGGCATTATTGAAAGCTTGCATTTTTCATCATCATAACAACTCTACATCAGCATTGATGGTATGGGTTCCTTGAGGTACATATCTTATTTCCGTTTATTAACTTACCCAGTCCTTTGACCAGCCACTGTTAATTAATGAGGTTTTAATACCGTATCTTTGAACCTCTATTGTCCCACCTTTCAATGGTCAGAGTGAGACCACATGTTACCTATGTTGTTTTGTGTTTTCCTAAAACAAAAGCTGGACTTTTGCCTTGGTCAGTGAATTCTCCAGATATAGTGCCAACTGAAAACGTCTGGTCAATAGTTGCAGGGAGACTGGCACTATAAAATTTCCAGCCAGTCTGACAGATGAATTCTGATGGAAAATTGAAGCCATATAGACTGCAGTACCAGTAACTGCCATCCAAAATCTGTTTGATTCTATGCTGAGTTGTATAACAGCTGTTGTTGTTACCATAGGCGAGTTCTCAGTCCAGTTTTCTATATGCTTTGTACCTTAAAATTACCTGAATTTTAATTATTTCATTCTTCTGGTATAATTAATTGTTTTATGAAATAAAAGTAATTCTACTACAGTACAAAGTCTGCAATCCAGACTCATTGGGACTTCAGCAATTCCAGATTAGGGGTTTTTCTGGATTATAGATCATCAATTTAAATCTGGTAAGATGGCATGCAGAAATTATACAATTAAAAATATGAAACCGTAATTTATGAAATAAAGAGCATTATGATCTAAAGGGTATCAAAATTTAAAAAAAAAAAAAAAAACGCCTTATATTTATTTGTTTACTTTATTAAAAATTTTTTTCAATGTAAGTTGTTTAAGTTGCTTCGTTTTTTGTGCTAATACTTTCTCTTTAATTCTATAAGCAGACATAATTTCTTGTTCAGTTACAAAATTCCACTGTTCAAGTCCTGTAATTGCTGTGTCGAGAATACCGACTAACTTGTCGATTGAAATTTTTTCGTTTTCAATGACCTCTCTGTCACTTTCTTCACTATCGGAAGCAGTACATCGAAACATTCTTTCACTTTGTAGTTCTTTTGGCAGCTCCAGAATTGGAAACTCTTTTTGACATAATCGAAAATTCAAGCTTAATTTTTATAAAATTGCTCTAACAATCTGCAAAAAATAATAAGCCCGATCCAGTTAGAAGATTAAGGAACAGCACAGTCTGCAACATTAACTGAAATGCCTTAGAATCAGTAAAGATAATTTTAGCCTAGCTTATATCATCCATTATACATTACGTGCATGCGTAAAGCATACAAAAAAAAGTTTGTGGCTTTTTTCCAGTCTGTGGTCCAGTGAAAAAGCAATTTTTCCAGTCTGAGGTCTGGATTATGGATTATTTCGGATAATGGACATCGGGATTACGGACTTTGTACTGTAATTGCTTTCTGTCATGGTGTTGCAGTTTCAGTGCTCAGCAATCTATTAAGTATGCCATTTTGATATGCACTGCTCTTATAATTTCACATACTAAGATTATTTAAAATATATTATAATACTCATTGTTTAATACTTTAATACTTACACATAGGTGAAACAAAAATAAGATCAATTCTTCCATTGCATAGGCTAGCATAACTGTATCAGACTGATATGTAAAGAGAAGTAGCCTTTTCAACCTTGGCAATTGACCAAAGAGTCGAGAGAGATAATTTTCCTAACCTGAGTTGTTAGCATTTAAGAGGTCCAAATGTAGAAAGCATCAGAGGAATGGTGTGCTCTACATTTGAGTGGTAAAGTTTTGCTAGATTAAGTGCTCTATTGCACTGAAATTCACCATAGAATGCATGTAAAGTATGGCAGGGAGGGAGAGTATAGGAGGCAGAGGGTTGTTGTGTATAAGGGGATTAAAATTTTAACTCTGGTAGACCATTTCAGCTTCTATTGATTTCTTTTATCGGAGATCATCTTTGTCACACCGATAAGGAAAATTGCTTAACTACTGTGTCTGGTATTGTCAGGAAAAAGAAGATAACTGGCCACATAAAGTAACAATTATGTGTTCTTACTGCTGTAAGGGCCTTCCCATGGCTGAGCGATAAAGTTGCTGTCCTAGGTTTAGTTCTGGGCAAATGGGCTTGCTGCGTGGACATTTTCGTAGTTTTTCTATGTGTAACATGGGCACAAGCCAGTTTCTCATTGGAAGACCTCCTGAAGGTATTCATTCCTTTCGGCAGATAGCCTGAGTGCTTTGCCACAATCAAATAAACCTAATCAAACCTTACTACTGTATGACAGTGTTTTTATCGCAGCTGTGTCTAAGTTTGTTGCAGTATTTCTGAAGAGGATCATCACTGGTCATGAAATATGGATTAATCATTATGATATCTAGAGCAGAAGGCAAGTAATGAAGTAAATACATCTAAATATCCCATGCAGAAAGAAATTCATAAAAGTGTTACATTCATTACATTACTGAATACTGGGTATAGAGCATTTATGGCTATAGAGAGATGTAAAATATGTGTAAATTAGTGGAAAACTGTATTGAGAAAAGTTATTTTTTTTGCCTTTTAATTATTTTAATATATGACACTAATAACCTTATTTTTATTCATATTTGTATAATTAAAAATCCAACCTAATTTAACGCTCTGTATAGCTGTTACTCATTACCCTACTGTCAATCTGTTTCTATTTGCAGGCTTACACTGGCCAGCAGAGTGTTGCAGATGAAGATAACTTTGCATTTAATGGTGGAAATTCATCATTAGCTGTACAAATGGCATCTGACATTGAAAAGAAATTACAAATATCCATCCCTGTTTTGGTACAAAAACTTCTCAATAATAGTTACCATGATGTTGTAGAACTTATAAAATCGTCTTTACAAGGCCAACGTAAATCTTTAATTAAGTTTGAAAGAACTATGGAAAAGGCACAAGATTATGCAGATGAACCTCCGAATAAAAAAAAGTGGAAAATATTATGTCATGAGTTATCTTGTAAGCGAGGCTATTACTTTAATTGTATGCATTTAAAAAAAAGTTGCTGTAGGGGGGAAAAAACTTTTCCCAGAATACTTGATATGGCTGTCCCGTTGAAGTATAAAATCGATCTGAAGAAATGTGTAGATGCTTCACCTTGTATTGTACATTTTTTGCAGTAAGTATTTTGAATTATTGAATGTATTTAATATATATGTGTAAAAGTTATTTTAGGCCAAAGTTCTCTTTTTGAAAATTTGCAGCAAATATAATAGCAATTTTAAATAATTTGATCTTAAATGCTTTTCTTTATTCTTTATCTGAAAATTTACACATTTGTTCATCACAGTGTATATCGTGTATGGTATACGTTAATCTTTTAAGTTATGCACCATAAACCCATTCAACGTCATGAGTTTCAACTCAAAGCTTCAATATATAGTCTAGGTAAAAATTGGCTTTATAATTGTGATCTGCATTCTGTTTTACCATGTACTGAAAAAGCAATTTTTCCAGTGGAGTTTATCAATTAGAAGTATTTTATTCTTTCCCGGAGAGAACCAAAGAAAGAAATGCAGAACTTAACAGCATTTGGTTTGCACATGTACATATCATAATGAAAGATAAGATCTCTCTTTGAGTTTGCTGCTTACTTTGAACTTGACAGTGGCTTGGAAGAACATTATCATTCCTCTAATACACATTCCCTTTCATGCATGAAATAATGAAATCAGCTCTCAGTTATAGTAACTGTGTTTTGATGAACTTTGCATCATTTCACCTTAACACATTTGCTGTCAATATGTGTTGGTATCAGGTCCGTGACACTTAACCGACACCATTTAGCCGACACATAGAGTTAGCCATCAGGACATTTAGATACAAGACATTTAGTGGACAGAGCATTAAGCCGACAGTGAAGTTTAGCTGACACGTACCCAATAATTATTTAAACTTTCTATCAATTACAAAATTTCTCGACTTCTCCATAAGTTCAATATTTAAGTCATTTTTCACCTATCAGTAAAATTAATTTTTCGATTCTTAAAGATCCCTTATGTGCTTTTAGATCTTATTAAATTAGCATAGTTTGACATATATTGTTTTGTTTGGTATTTATTGGCCAAATTTGAAAAGCATTAAAATTTCTCATCAGGGAATATGGATTGATTTTTGAAAGAAAAAAAGAATTTTTTTAGTTAAGTACGACGGTCACTTAGTTACAGTTTACTATGGGATCTGCAAAAATTATCGGCTCAGGCAAACATGAGAGGTTTGCTGTGACAGGTTCCTGCTAACCCGAAGTAATGCAGTGTCAATTTTCGATTCTGTGCGAGTTCCGAATAATTCTTTAGAAGAATGAACATAAAGTCACAGTTTATAATAAAATGTACAGCGTGGGTAGCTAAGTCTGATAATAAAGAGCCCAATCGAGAGTAACACCTGAAGCTGTCAACCATTGAAATGGAAGAGTAAGTGCTCAAAAACATAGCCGTGATTACATAGCAATTAATGACAGAATAGCAATTATTGACAGTAAAAGAAATGCCTTATTTGCCAAAAACAGTTTCTGGATGAGCATGTGAGTGTACAATACTGATGCATAACAATTAAAATACATAGAAAATTATAATGCATAGCAAAAAGACAAGAACATGAGCAGAAACAAATACATAACAGTAATAGTGAGATTGATCAAAACAAAAATTAATTCAGGTGATGTAGTACCGCAAGCGACCTTTCGTGATTTTCTTTACTTTCATAGTCGTAGTTCAAGACAGGAATTGTGCTGTTTTGCACTTCTAGGATTTTCATAAAGAATATGTCAGCAATGATATGATATAACATTGTGTGATATAATTTAAGTTTATACAACTCCTCTGTGAAAAATTAATTTTCATGTGCCTCTGTGATATTTCTTATATATTTTCTGTTAACATAGGCCCATTTGCTGGAATATTTGATGCACTGCACAGAGTGAAAACCTTTAGAAAAATATTATTTAAATGTTCAGATATTTTGATTTGAACAGGCAGCTTCTTTGAAGCAAGTTTTCCACAAACTGTTATCGCTTCTTCTAATATCCTTATCAGAAATATTTGTTTTCAGTTTTGACACAAGAAATTTTTTTTTTTTTTTTTTTTTTTTTTTTTTTTTACAGGTATATTTGCATAAATTTTGTAGTCAAATTCTCTTAATATTTTAGGGGGTATGCTTTTTGCTTTCTTGACATTTTAGTAACAAATTAAATTTAAAGTAAAACCCAGAGGATCAATACAATGTACTCTCAGTTTTATCAAGTGTGGATTATTCATGCATGGTGGCACTCATGCATGCACATTCAACACTTCATGAGAGTAGTAAGAGCTTCTAAAGTGAAACCATAACACTGAAAACAGAAGAGAAATATGTCAAGTGAAACATAAAATTAGTAATGCCACAACCTTGAGTATAGCGTATATTTAGTCAAGATCTCAATTAATTTCAAGGACAAACAGGTAATAGTATAGGTCCCTCTTCAGGAGCAAAGAAATCTGCAAGACTGGAAAGCAGTGGGCACAACAGACATATTTATACTCCACAATAAAGCGAACAAGAAGGTAGTGCCATCTATCACCAAAAATAATAATAAAATTTAAAAATTGAGTTATTAAAATTCTTAAAGCATTAAGAAGGACTGGATTGTAGTCATTAACTAAACAAGATAAATCCTTGTGAATATGTAAAGCCCAAGAAAATCCAAATCACCTAGTTGAAGAAGCTTTATTATGAATATTATGAATTATGAATATTATGAATAATTTTTGCAGACCCAAAAAGTCAAAATTATGATTAAATTTCCAACAATGATTAGCTATCGAAGCTTTGTTAATTTTGCTTTTTCAGACTTAAGCTTTTAAGGAACTTAAGCTTTTCAGACTTAAGTTCCTTGATGAAAACTTCAATGCTCCTTTAGTTTGGCTGATGTATCTCAAATTGCACTGGCACAATATGCTATAGATTCCCCAAGTATTGAAGTTATGAATACAATCTTTAAGAGTCGAACCATGGATTTTATTGAGAGGCGAGAAAATGACATGAAAATTGAACTTTTGGAGAATCCATGCAATTTTATAACTGACAGAAGGATAAAATGGAAGCACAACAAGGTTAATAATGCTATCTATAATAGCAGAATGTCTTCCTTGATGGTAAGCTGATTTTAAAAGCTTTATCAATGACCACGGGAGAAAATCCTCAATCAGTGGCAAATGATCTCAAATAATTCAGTTCATTAGCAAGCAAAGGTTCTGAGGAACAAACTTTGAGAGCCCAAAATACATAATAGTAAAGTAGTAATAGTGCATAATAGTAATACATAAAAATAAGCCATTTCTTGCTTATCCGGGCGGCATGACTTAACATAGGGCATTAAACAAACATGAAAGGGTTACGGTAAACAGTGCTGAATCGATATTCATAGCAAATTATAAGAATATCAAGGAAGGAAAGGGAATTGTCAGATTCGGTTTCAAAAGTTAACTGGATGGCTGAATCAATCAAATTCATAACAGGTAAATTCTGGGTCTACATAAAGTGTCATCTACGTAACAAATCCAAAGATGAAAAGATAATTTTTCAAATAATTTGACCTTGTGTTATTAGTTAATGACTTTAAGTCGAATCTGTTTTTTCCTAATATTTTTTAAATTCTGTTAACTTAAATTTTTAATTTCAGTAATATTTTTCCTAATAGATTGTGCTACCTTCTTGTTCGCTTTACTGTGGAGGATAAATATTACCACATCGTCCACTGCTTTCCAGTCTTGCACATTTCTTTGTTCCTGATGAAAAGGGAACTATACCTGTTTGCCCTCAAAATCGATTGATATTGGGATTAAATCTACAATAATGCTGGTTCAATCAAGAAGAAAGATTCTCCCTGATATAGAAATTCGAGATTTCTCTAATTGTGAACATGTCAAGCTAATAACTGAAGTCATATGCCAAAAAATTTAAAATGTAAAATCCTTGGAAAAAGTTGACCAGGAAAACCTAAAGGAATGGTTCTGTAGCTATTCGACTGAGATGGTTTCAGCACAGGAGTGATGCAGGTATTATTTCAAATGTCTCAAAAAAGAAGAGGCAGGGAGTGATACTGAAAATAGAAGTGAAGAAGATGCTGACAATTACATTAGTACCAAGGCAACAATGACTTCTTTTGAAATTCTATTGAATTTTGTCGATCGTAGGGGATTCGAGTGCAGTGATAAAATAGCACTTAAAAAATAATTATAAAATTTGGCAAAAGTTTCATTTTTCTCAAAAACAAATTAAAATTATTGATTTTTCTTCAAAAGAAATCAACACATATATTATGCGTGAAAATTAGTATTTTGGATTATCCATGTTTTTCAATTATTTGTGACTTCTTTTTACCTTTTACCAGCAGGCCCAAATAATCAAGATTACAATGTAGTTGAGTTAAAACCTCTTTGCGAAATGATAAAGGTATAAACCTCTCCCAAACTTTTCTGCTCAACAGAATCCGGCATTTATTTTATCTTACTTAATGATCCAATCTTAAAATTAAGTGCTCTTTTAAGACTATTAGTTGTTATATTAAAGAGCATATTTCTTTTTTTTTATCATTATTATCTGTAAAAGTATGTGGAAAAACTAGCTATTTGAAACATTCTTTGTAAGAGGGTTAATATCAAAATTTATATTTCATATATTTTCACTAAAAGATAGGATATGACCAAAGCTGTCAAACTCTTAAAACATAGTTTATTTTGTTAAATATTTAATTTGAAATCATGCACAGAATTTTTGCTTTTGTGGTAAAAAGTGAAGACTCAATCTCCTAATACAGTCAAGCCCACCAACAGCTGAGCGTTAAAGTCGTTGGATGCTGGTAGTTTGGTCCAGGGTTTGAACCCAAGCAAATTGGCTGACTGCATGGGCATTTACATCCATGCCTTCTCTGGGATATGAACCCAGGCTCTCCGGTGTGGTAGTAGATTCATTAATCACTATCCAGTCTGGGTGGCACTTTGAGAAAAGTAAAAAAATCTAACACAATTAGCAATGGGTGGAATTTGATATTTTTAAAATTGAGTTGTGAATATATGAGACAATTTCACAATGGTTTTATTTTTAGAATCATCAGAATATGAAAGCTATTTAGGATCAAGCATTGTGGGCTTCTTTTGTGTTTTGTGAGTCTATCACTCCATGCCAAGCTTTCTATAATTTTTTGTTCTATCAAAATGAGGAGCATTTGTATTAATTGCCTTCAATATTGATAAAGTTTTATATAAAATCTACCTTTTATTTTTTGTATGTCTACCTGTGTTTACATGCATATGCACTTGGTTTACCATTATAATACCATACAGTTAGGTACAGTGAAAAGTAGTGTATAGACACCAAAGAAAATAGTTTTGAAGGGAAGAAAATTGAGGTTTGTAATTCACTATCATAATTCATTGTTTCATTTGGTATCATTCTGGTTTTCAAGTTGTCTTCTGAATGTGTGCATGTTATAGATACACCTTGAGTAAGCTAAGAAATAGTTTATACTCAGATTTGAATTGCCTGTATGTAATTTATATAATAATTGTAATAAAATTCCATTACTAATTAGTTTGTTTATTAATTTTTTCAGATCAGAAGAAATGTTGATTTTCATAGGATCACATTCTGGGACCTTTTGTGCTATAACTGCAGAAAATGGAACTGTGAAATGGAGCATACAGCTGCCTGACCGAATAGAATCATCATCATGTGTATCTTATTGTGGGAAATATGTCTTAGTAGGTGAGCAATCTTATTTATTGAGACTAAAAATAAATAAAAAATAAGATTGCAGTTTTCCATCTGATATTCTGTAACAAATTTTGTGTTTAAAAAAAGATAAAAATATTTTATATAAATATTTATTTAAAATAGTATATTCATAAATTTTTCAATGACATATGCTAAAATGTTTTATACTAGTATGACCTACTTATAAAAAATTTATTTAATAAAATTTAAATAAATTTATTCAAATTGAATTGATTTTTTTTTTTCTGTTGTTTTTTGTTTTAATTTAGTTTATTCTATGTGTTTTCAACTGCTTGCAAAATGCTTTTCATTCAGATTTCTAGGTTCTACTTTACAACATAACTGATAGTTATCCATAATAGAACTTCCTAATTATTTTCTTTCAGTCAAAGTGTATTAAATTACCATCATTTCAATGAAAGAAAACTGATGCAGGTGTAATTTTTTTAAAATTTAATGGTAAATATTTCTGTTTAAATTTTTATAAAATTCAGATTTGGTTATTTTATTCAGTAATATAAATTGCATCAAAAAACAGTGCTACTATTGTGATTCTGATTCATGTAATGGTTTTTGTTCTATTAATTTTACATTTTTGCTAATAGGGTATGTTGAAGTTTTTCTTAACAATGAATTAATTAGTAACCTGAAATGTGTTTATTATTATAAAATAAAAAATTGCTTATGATATATTGTTCTTTTGAACTTCAGTTATATAATGCTGTTTTTATGCAGATAAATAATATTAGTTAAAATTTTATGGCACTAGCAAATTACTTTTCAATAATTGCATTGAATAAATTTAGTAATGAACATAAAAATTTTTCATACATTAGTTAAGAAAGCTTAATCAAATTAAGTGTAATAATTATTGTTATCCTGAATTACTGTTAAAATATTTAATTATTTTGAAAATGAGGTAAATGTGAAGGATGAAGAAAATAATTTTGAATATAAAATACAGGAAAATTAGATTAAAATTGTCATTTGGTACAGAAAATTATGGAAAAAAAAAATGTGTTATGGAGTGTTAATATAGAAAATGTTAAAAAATATATTATAAATAAAAAATAGTAAGGATTTATGAAATTGAATAATTATAATAAAATTAATTGTAGGTCATGTAATTTATAGTAAAATGTATTAAAAAGTAGTTTCATAATTACATAAATGGATAATTGAATACAAAGAATAGAGTTGTGTTGCCAGGAGTATTAATTCAAAATCAGAGGATTATTTTTTAATTAATTAATTTAATTTTCCTTATACCTTCTCACACAACAGTACCTTCTGAATTAATTTTCCTTTTACTTTCTCATATAAGAAAAAGTGAAAGCTATCATTTTTAATAATAAATGTGATATTTTTGTATAGAATTAATTTTTTATTTTGGTAGCTTTGATGCAGTTATCAAAGGTTAGTTATTTTAACCTTCCAACACGCGCGCTTGACAATTTTACATGAGCACGCATGCAACGTATTTTTTATGACGTCCATTATTTTACCATTTTTGGCACGAAAAACGACAGAAATGAGTGAATATTGATAATAAATTTCTTAAGAAATAAAATGTTAATCTTATTATTGCAAAATACAAATGATATCACTAAGTTCTTATGTTAGTGAGATGGAAATGCAATGATGTATTTCATTATAGAAAATTTTAAATTTATTATTTAATAATTATATTTTTAAATCGAAGCTAATTTTAATATTCATCAAAGACATGTACAGACAATAAGAAAGGAAGATACCTTAGTAGGAAAAAAAGTAAGGTTAGCATTACTTACTTCTGCAAGGAAATTTACTTCTTACTAGTTACAAAAACGCACTTTAAACTAACTTTAATGTTTTTATTTATTTCTAAAAAATAGAAATAAAAGAAAATAAGGAATGGAAATCGCTATTGTTCTCCCATCCAAAGGTTTTCTTGTCTTCGTTTTCTTCATCAGATAATTCTTGAAGAATCCGAGCAAAATCAGCTGGTTGCACATATTTTTTTGCCATGAAAATCGATATAAAATTTACATAGCCAAATGTATTCAAATTAAAATAATACATGGCAATTAATGACACAAAATTACAAAATATTTGAGAATAAATTTTTCCGAATTTTAAAACATGACCACGCGTGTGTCATTACTTTTATGGAAAAGTTGCCACATAGCACAAATTAATCCAATAGGAGAGAGATCCGGCCACTTTGCTGGCCAAGGTAATGTTCGGCAAGCACTAAGGCAAGCAGTAGAAACATGTGCAGTGGGGGGGGGGGGGCATGTTCTTGCTGAAATGCAAGCCTAGGGTAGCGTAACAGGAAAGGCAACATAACAGGCCTTAGAACTTCATCGACATACCGCTGTGCTGTAAGGTTGCGACGGACGACAACCAGAGGGGTCCTACTATGAAATGAAATGGCACCCCAGACCATCACTCCTGGTTGTTAGCCTGTCTGCCAGAAGACAGTCAGGTTGGTATCACACCACTGTCTGGGGCATCTCCAGACTCGCCTTTGCTGATCATCGGGGCTCAGTTCAAAGCCAGACTCATCACTGAAGACTATTCTACTCCAGTCAGTGATATTCCAGTGCGAATGAGCTTGACACCACTGCAAATGGGCTTGATGTTGTACAGAGATCAATGTTAGTCGGCGCAAGGGGCGTTGTGAGCTCTTCCCCCTTTCTGTGAGCTGTCTATGAATGGTCCTTGTGGTCACTGAAGCACTAGTTGCACGTACAATCGATGATAATGATGCATCTGGGGCTGTGAGTGTTGCTTTGACGATTGCTCAGTATTCACGTTCTGTCATTTCTCTAGGCCTACTGCTTCCTTCTTGACGCTGTGTGCGGCCATGGTTCACCCATTCCTGCCAACATCGTCTAATAGTGGCATCGCTCCTGCTCAAATGTTGAGCTATTCTCCGATAAGACCAACTGCCTTCTTTGAGCCCAACTATACAACATCTCTCAGATTCTGACATCTGCACATATCATTCGCGCACCTGTATGCGAGGCATAGTTACTGTCTACCAGAGTACATGGAATGAAATTCGTGAAGAATTTATGACTTGGAATCGTAATTTCTCCTTCTAAATATCCTGCCAGTTGTGCAGATCAGATGCGCTGTAGCGACAACCGTTCATTCATTGGCAGCCAAAATGTAAAATTTTGCATTTTCCGTCGAAACCTGTATGCATATCAATTTATGTCCAATTTGCTTTATATCTTCTCGGTGCATTGTGGTTCTCCCCCTTGTCTAAGAGTGTATTACACTTAAAAAGTATTTTAAGTATCAGTAATCATTTTAAAAGATAAAACTGCAATCATTTTATATTACATATGATGAAATTTAAATTTTTACTGTATAAAAGGTGTTATTTTTTATGTAAGTCTATATTTTTTTAAATTGTGGGTAATGAACTTCTGTTTTTATTGACACTGGAATTTATGATACAATGTATTTGGTATAGTCAAGCAACTTTTATAATTTGTAGGTTGCTATGATTATCATTTTTACTGCTTTGATCTGAAGAAAGGTGTTGTCACATGGAAATACAAAACAGGAGCTGAAGTTAAAAGTTCACCTGTAGTTTCATGTAGCAATGTTGCATTTGTAGGATCTCATGACAAGCATTTGTATGCTGTAAATGTTGAAGTATGTTTTACTAAAATTTGAGTTACTGAATTAGATTTTATGTTTTCAGAATAAATTTTACTACTAGTTCTCTGAATGTGTTCTTCATGCTTGTTATTTTGTTTAATGTTTTTATCTGTAAGAAAACTGTAGTGAGATATCTTGATGCTTTGTTTTGTTTATTTAAAATAAAAATGTAAAATATTTATTACAGTTCCTTTTCCCATTCTTTGTTTCTATCTTTAGCCTTCTATTAATATTTCTTGCATGTGATTTTTAACTTTTGTATTTATCTTAATCCTCATTCCAGCAGTATCTAAAATAATACACCATCCAATCTAAGTTAAGTATTTAAAAAATTAAATACTTATGTTATTCCTGTATCTTTAGTCATCTTAAAATATTTGCCAATAATAGGGCATTTTAAATCTTGAAATCTAGGGAGGGCCACATACATGCAGAGAGTTTAGTTTTGCACTGTTTGCAACCATCTAGTATTATTATTAATGGTTGTGTAATTAAAGAGAGTTCAGTTGCCTCCAAATAACATCTTCAAGAATAACAGGAAAGTCTAAAATATTCCTTTGAGAAGAGATCACTTGAAGGTTTTTTTTTTTTTTTTTTTTTAATTAAAATTTTTATTTATTTATTTTTTTCAGCCCAAAGGGGCATTAGCCCAGAAGGGCTGTTAATCTTTAATTTAATTATTATAAAACAGCTTAAACTTGTAATAAATGTATTTCATGGGAGGATAATAGTATTTTTTTTTTTTTATTATTTAAAATTTTTTATAAATTACGGTGGAAAAAAACAAAATTATTAGTATATTCTACTTTTGATTCTAAAAGTTTTTGCTCTGGCACATTTCTCATTTCTTGTTTTCATCATCATTATTCCGAAGTGTGGGAAATTGCAAAACACACTTCTAATTTTATCACATAGACAGGCATTTATAAGAAGAAGCATCTTTATTAATAAAGAAACTGAAAATATTCATTTTTTTGTTTCTTAATATGCCATGCATAATTTCATAAAGTTTTTTGGAGATATTCTTAGTATTGAAAGTACTGGAGAAATAGGATTAGCAACTTTTGCTGGCTATTCTAAATATGTGCAATATTTATAATAAGAATAATCTTGAACAAAATTTGAAAATTCAAAAGATGAAGAGAAAAATGTTTGAGGAAAACATTTATTCACAAAGTAAACAGAAATATTTCTTCAAAGGGATATTGAAGATATTAACAATGAAGTAAAGGCTACCAGGAGTATTATTTATTTGTTGAAGCAAACAAACTAAGCTAAGCAAAGCTCTCTTGAACATGAAAATCTCTTTCTGTTCATTTTAAAATAAAATACGCCTAGCTGTGACTCTTGGGACAAAAGTACTTTTGGAACTTATTATCTGACAAGGTACTTCTCTCTCACTTGCTGCATGATTTTTGATAAACATCTCCCATCTTTAGTCTTATTTGGCATGCCTTACTCAGATAGACAACATCATAATATATATTGTTTATTATATAGCATTATGACTGTGTTTGGATACATATTTTTTATTATTAAATACTAGTGGCTGGTCATTTAAAATTGTATGACAGCAGTGGTCTTCATGAAGGAAAAGGTTGAAAAGGAAAGCGCAAGAAGGAGATGATAGTGGTGTAAGTAAAGAAAGAAATCGTCAAGAAGTGTGAATGATGTATATGAACAGCTGATGTTGCAAGATTTTATAAGTCTGCATCAAGGGTTTGCACAAAATTAAGAAAGAAATATTAAATAAGGGGCTAAATGCAGCAAGTCAGGAGAGTAAGAAAACAACAACCATATGTTCTGAAAGATGTACATCAATAGTGCATTTGCTATGAATAAATAAGAGGTAGCAAACATGTGATTCTCAGACCAAGAACTTTGCAAAAAGGTAAAAGCCTTGTGCTCTGACCTTGTAAATAAACTGCTAGGTAAGTTGACAGAAAGCAGTGAAGGCTTTAAGACAGACGGGAACTTTGCAAAAAGGTAAAAGCCTTGTGCTCTGACCTTGTAAATAAACTGCTAGGTAAGTTGACAGAAAGCAGTGAAGGCTTTAAGGCAGACGGGATGGATGGATAACTTTAAGAGGAGTGACATTCATAATGTTTTGAGGCCCATAGAGGCTACGAGTTTGGATGCAAAAGCAGTTTTGCAGTGGAGTTCCAGAAGCTTGTGGTTTCCAAGTACTACCTGCCACAGCAAATTTTTAACTTTCTCTGTCTTTTATTATATACTAAATGCAAGTGGGGATTCTAAAGCCAAGCCTAACTCATGTCTGATTCTGAGAGTCCATAAGCAAGGTGCAGAGATGTCTCTTAAATGTTAAATGTAATATATGCAAGTAAAAGCTAGGCTTGTGCCATTTAGATTTTGTTTGTAAAGTGGATCAATGAGGTCTTTGTTTCATCAGAGATAAAACATCTTTTAGAAAAGAATCAGCCATTCATAGTGTTGCTAGCTATGAATTTTCTTGCACATCCTCCAAGCCTTGAGAACGACCTTTTGGAGGAATTCAATTTCATCAAATTTCTTCTTTCCAGTATTTAGTCCATGGATTAGTGTGTCACTTTAAACTTTGGAAGGCTTTAAGGACCAAAGCACTGTTTCAGCTTTAAAGAGATAAATCTTATCATCTGAGACTTAAAAAGAAATCATTTCCACATCTTGAACAGCTTCAAGATCATCAGTGAGTTGATAAGAGAACCTTTGCTGCTGAAGGAAACTGTGGTCTGATGGAATTCTTGGATATAACTTTGCAAATCTGATTATGAATGGGATCAACCAGTTATCGATAAAATGTATGAGCAGAAAAAGTCCATAGGATTGAAAGTGAATGAGAAAAACATTCAAAAGCTAGTGGAAGATCATGACCAGGAGCTAACTACCAAAGACTGATAAATCTACATCGCAAACAATAGCAGAGTGAAGATCTCATCCAAGGCAGAGGAAGAAAAGACAAAATGATAGCATTGCCTCTCCTTTGCCTCTGATGAGATCTTCACTTTACTGCTGTTGCTTCCGATCCAAATTCATCAGTTCTTTGGTGGTCAGCTCCTGGTCATGTTCCTCCACCAGTCCTTGGATGTGCTTCACCAGCATATCTCAAATGGGATAACAGAAACCGATCAGTAAAATATGGGAAAGGGTGCTCATACTTGTAGAAAATGGCACCCACAATTAAAGCTGTGGAATTATGATCAGTGAATCTTCTTGATTGCTGTACAATGTCATATTTTTGCAGAATCATGAAAAGGACATAAAGCATCTGTCATTACATAAATTCCTTGTAAAATCACATAAAATGAAAAGGATTCAGTTAAGACATGGAATACATCTGTAATACAATCCCATTTTGTAATACGATCTTAACATTTATTGAATTTGTTTCCATTGTAAAATATTTTACAAGTAATGTTAAGTAGAATAAAAGAAGTGTATTTAATCATTTTAATAACAATAAATTTAGTGTCAGAATTTGGGAACAATCATAGCAGTTTTCTCTTTGTTTATTGTTTGAAAGTGACTGTAGTAAATATCCACATTTATCTTTATAAACCATTAAAACATTTAAAAAAAAAATTCTTATATTTAGTTTTGTAGCCAAAACAGTGTTCACCATTCTCTTTTGAATATTTATATGCCAAATGATTTTCATTAGGAAACTTAAAAGTTGAAATTCCATCTTTGCTTTTTACTTCAATTATATGAGTTCCATATTTCAGCAATAAAAAATTATCTGAAACAATCCATTAATTACTTTTGCTATTTCTTTTCACTTTGTCATCTTAAACTAATTTTAAAGAACAAATTACAATTAATGAAACAATACAGAATCAGAACTCTAGTTGAGTGAGATCTAACATTGATATTTTAAATGTGCATCTAGATTTTATTAATGTATTTTGTTCTTTTTAATCTTAATTAGATGTGCATTAAAAAGAATTGTAAACAGTCGTAATAAAATTAATTGCTTAGTTTTTATGAATTTTAATCTAGTTTAAATCCTAATTGATTAGAAATAATTATAATGCATTATTTTAATTAGGAAGTGAAATGCTGATATTTATAAATTATTTAATTAAAGAGCAAAGTTTTCTTTTGTTCTTTTTTAGAGTAAACAATGCTCAAAATTTAGTGTTCTGTTTGACTGCATTATGTTTTTTTCTCTTATTTCTATTTATTTGCCTTCACAATGTGTAAATAAAGAAAGTGAAATAGAAACTGAAAATATTTCAATAATAAATAAATTCTCTAATTCAAATAAAAGCTCTTGTATTTCTTAGGGTAAACACTGTTATTCCTTTAAAATTATGCAATGTGTTGTGTTGTATCTCGAAAAAATAGCGATTGATTTTTATTCTTTTTTGTTAGACTGGTAATCTTGAGTGGAAGAGAGAAATATCAAAAGGAAGTATTTTTTCTTCTCCTGCTTTAGTTGAACAGTTGTCTTCAGTTTGTGTCACAACTTTAGATGGGACAATTTCTATGCTTAAAATGGTTTGTAAATTTTAGGTTTTGGTGAAAATTAAAAGAATGATTATTTATTGAATGTGTGTGGTAGTTAACTAGGTGCTCAAATAGAACAAAGCTGTTAATTTTTTAAGAAAGCTTTTCTTTTTTTTTTTTTTTTTTTTCCTGTTTTAAAATGATGTGGAAAAGAGGGGGATAATCTTTTGTATTTATATTTGGAAATAATTTTTTAAAGATGAATGAAAACTCTGTTTACATTTCCTCTACTTTCCAACTCTTTAATGAAAATCAAATAATGGGATATGTATTTTAGTAGAAGGGATTACACTGTGAATTCCATGAAAACTGTTGATGTGCTGCATTCACACTGGTCCATTGGCATGAAATGAAGAAATGCAGGAAAACAATGTTTTCCGCTTATGTCAGTTCACACGAGGATGTAAACTAGATGGCTGTTCATATTGGAAACTTGGGGAAGAACATGAATTTTTCTGTGGTATTTTGGCCTTTTATGGTTATTTTTTAAAATTAAAATTAAAATTAAATTGTATGACAGCAGTGGTCTTCATGAAGGAAAAGGTTGCTGTTAAATTTCTGGTAGATTAAAACTTATTTTACTTTTTGCTTTAAGTAAGAGAAACAGAAGGCAGCAGTTTATATTAATATGTGAGAGATGACTGCAGAAAGGACATGCAAAAATCTAATTAAAAATATGCACTTGAATAACACTGAAACTTCTGTTAGTTAGATATTTTCATGATGCCTCATCAGTTTGATGAATATTTAGCCCTCACTGAATCATTTATTCAAACAGAGCACTAAATTTGGTCAGAATATGGTAGAAATATCATTTGGCAGATAGGAATAGAATGTTCCAGAAAAATATTGTTGTGTATATTTAATTTGCATTATTTATGAATTTTGTTAAATGATAATTAAAAATTTTTAATTGTATGTTCCATTATCAGAGGGTGAATTTCATGGAGTAGAATGGCATAAAATGTTTTGTAGGATGTGTAAACTATGAAATTGGTGTAATTAATGTAATAAAAATTATATTTTGTTTAAATGTATGTAGGAATTATAGGATTACTAAACTAAATATCATGCTTAGGGAAAAGAAGCAGTTGCCTAAAATAGTTAATAAACAATAGAAATTTAAAAAAATGTTTTAAAACATATTTTCTGCCTTATGTACGTATTTTTTATCTTAAATGTAACTGTAATTATTCCATTAGCCATTTATAGATTAGTGAAGATCCACTGTCTTAAGTTTTATTTTATAAATACCCTTTCATCTAAAACTCATTGAAGTAACTGTATTTTATATAATATTTCTTTTTCTGTTTTAAAAATTGAATTCTACAATTAATAATTACATCCAAATTCTTTAAATTTACAAAAAATTGTCATCAAGATTAAGCCTCTGGCTAAGTGGGCATGCATGTTTAGAAAAACAAACATAAAGCCACTAAAATGCCTAGAGGTATTCTATAAAATTAGCTCTATCTAAGATTATCTATCTTTGTCTTGATTTAAATGTCATATACTAGCAAGCTTTCTTTCTGTATAAATAATAATTTGATTTTTTTTTAAACAAATGGTTTACTCATCACCAGCTGTTTAAAACTAAGAACTCACTAATTTTTTTTAAAAATTAGGTTACTTTATACCAGTATCATGTTTGCTCGTCTGGCATCAGCTGCAACAGAATTAGATCAGAACAGTCAGATTGTTTTATGAATTGTGCCAAAGGTTTGTTATGCATACAATGCCGGCTTGAAGATTAAAATTTTATTTATAGTCAATAAAAAAGTGCAAACATTTTGTGCACAAATAAAAGAGTGGTAGATAAAAAATTGGAGTATTCGCACCATCATAAAAGATGGGGAAAGCAAAGCCTGACCTCACACTACGAATATCTAATATCATCTGAAATTTCTTCTTAATGTGTTATCTCGTTGCTATCTGATAATTACAAGGGTGTCTTTCATGGAAAACTGGTTTCCAGACTTCATCTTCAGGAAACTGAGTAAGCATCGGTGCTACTCTGAGTCTAGTAATAAATTTTTCTATGAATATTTTTTTTTAAATACCAACTCTGTAATAGCACCGCCCCTGATGACATTTGAATCCACATTCTTTGACTCGGGAAGCCAGTCCCTTATCTGTTAGGCAATAGGAGCAACCTTAAATTGATGTAGATTTCAAGTCAAATTCAAATTCTGGGATTTTCGAAATCCGTTATTTTTTCTCACAACAATCTATTGCTTTAGATTATTATGTAAAAATTATCAACCATGCATCATTTAGGGTTGACAATTATGGTTTATTACTGTTAATAAACTTGAGAATTTTCCTTTAAATAATTTATTAGGATATTCTTTTAACTAATGAATTTTTAAGTATCATCTGAAATCCATTATCATCTGAAATCCATTATCATCTGAAATCATTTATCATCTGAAATCCATATTTTCCTCAATTTTTGAAAGTGTATTCATTTAAAAGTTGTGGTATAAATGGATATTTTCAACAAGTTAGTTGAAACTGATGCCACAAGCAGAGAAAAGTTGAAGTTGAGTGAACTCACGCAGTCTTTAGTCATCTGGAAAATATGGCTTCTGAGCTCATTTCTTGGTCCTTACACCCAAATGTGTGATCTCGTTGAAGTGGCTTTTGTTGGGACCATCAAGAATATTTAAAATTTTCCTTAGAGGTATATGAGAGAAGTAAAAAATTATTTTTTATAAAAATATTATAAATTTGTCAAGGAAAACTTGTCTATTCATCATCTGTATTAATTTTTGTTATTTCTTTTTTAAACACAAAATGTATAAAAAAAATTTCAGAATAGTAAGAAATTATATTACCACTCCAGCATATGTAAAGATAATTACAATCTGTACAATTCTGCATTTCTCATCATTGCCATTCAATTTTATTTTGGATCCAAGAAATTGTGTCCGGGAGAAATAGAATTAGAAATTTTATACTCAGTATATTATAATATGGCAGAAAAGTTTATCACTTGCAGTATAAAATAGCTCTTGTTGCAAATTATTATTATTATAAAGAAATACAAGCAAAATAACTTCTTAAAGCTTCACTTCCCTGTTCTAATGAGTAGTGCAGAAGACATTATAAAGTGCATATATCACAGATAAGTGGAAAATCATATGTATCATCAGCTAGCAATACATAATTTCATGTTTCTTAACTTTCTTTGTAACAGACAGGGTTTTTCTCGCTAACTGTAAAAAGTAACATCTCTTTTGAAGTATAAAAAATTATCAAATGATTCTTCACATATTTGTAACATTAAAATTTTATTGTGATATTGATGTGAAAAATTCTTCTGTGTTTTGGTTAATAGTTTGTTTTTGCATTAATTAAACTTAATACTATTTTTAAAATTTCCTTAATGTATTCTTGTAAAATGTTTTTGAAATTTTCATTTATGATTACACTTATAAGTGACTCTCAACCTGTAGGTAATCGATGACCAATGACCTTGATGATCATCTTTGGTTAATTTTGCATTTAATAGTACTATACCTAAATGATATTATTTAAAGTGCGTATAACTTAAAATATATTCAGTTAACACAGTTTGTGAACTTATGAAGCATTATTTTAATTAATAAAATATATTTTAACACCACATATTTTATACCTGGTGCAGAACCATTTTGATTAAAATCATTCTATCTGACATATTAACTTATTATTATAGTTTCATTATAATTTCATAATGTAGTCTTAAAATTATTTGCAGGTTTCTGGAGAGGTTATATGGACCTATCATTATGGTAAACCAGTGTTTTCTTCACCATCAACTACATTAACATCTATATTTGTGGGCTCTACAGACAACAGTATGCTGCATTTTGATTTAAGTGGCAATATGGTTAGTAATTTTTCTTTATTCTTTTCTGTGTGAATTATGATAATCCATAGTATTATGTCTAAACAGTAATTAGGCAAAAAATAACCACCTTTTTTTTGGCTATTTTAGGACTTAATATAATTTTTTTTTCATTATATAACTGACCTGTAAATTGTGCCAAAGGATTGATGTGCATACAATGCTGGCCTGGAAGGTGAAAATTTCATTTATAGTCAATGAAAAATGCAAACATTCTGTGCACAAATAAAGCCACGGTAGATAAAAATTTGGGAGTATTCACACCATCATCAAAAGTGGGAAAAGCAAGGCCTGAACTCGTACTGTGAATATCTAATATCATCTGAAATTTCTTCTCAATGTGTTATCTCGTTGCAAGGGTGTCTTGCATGGAAAACTGGTTTTCAGACTTTAAGTTTAATTTCTCGATTTCTTAATTGCGTTATAGGCAAGTTACTTTTCTTTATTGTCTGCTAAGAATTGTGTTACATACAATTATCCAAATTTGCATTTAAATTCATCAGATTTTTTTCAAATCTACAGACATAAACAAAAGTTATTATTTTCAAATCATGTGGAAACCTAAAATAACCTGATTGTTTCAGATTCATCCATATAAAATATTATCAGCAAAAATCATTTTACTTTAAAGGCTGTAGTCTTAGTTATTCCATTACAATCCATTACAATTGTAACATTTGGATGTTTTCAAATTATTTGCATTCATTGAAATAATTCACATAAACTTTCTGTCATGTAAATCTAAAAAGCTTTCTGTCATGTAAAGCTAAAAATATTGATTCTTGACATTCAGTCTCACATTTTAAAAAGGACAGAAGATCATAAACTTTAATATAATATTTTGAATTTGTGTTTTGCTTAAAGTGTGAAACAAGATTTTCTGACAATAAATTTAAGACATTTGAAATCAAAATGAATGGTAGGATTCTGAAACTTCTTGCATTGAATCTATATTTTGTATAGCAATATATAGCTGCCATATTGCTTTCTTAAAGTTAGAACACTTGAAGAATTTTAATGCTTTCCAAGTTTAAAATTTTATTCATAAAATAATAATGATGTATTTATGGGAAAATGATGTTTGAGTTACTTGGCACAGTTGTTATAATTTTTGTCAATTAACTGGAAACCAGATACTATTTTAACACTGCTCCAGTCAAGTATATTTTTTATATTTTTAAATAAGCAGATGTTTCAAGTTTTAAAAGTGAATCATTTTGATCAGTTGTGCTTTCAAATGAATTCCAAAATTGGTACTAGTGCTTACTTCAACTTCAGTTATGTCAATTAAATGTTCAATTTAATTATCTAACGATTTTAGCTTATTCTTGCTTTAACTAAAACTTCTAGATATTCCTTTAAGGCATTCCATGTGACATTTTCATCTATTAAGGCAATGTCAAGTTTCGAAATAAGTTTTGTAGTATGGATTCACTTAACAGATCATTTTTGTTTAAATTTCTCAAAATTTTTTTCAGAAGACACATTTTTTATGCTTTAAAGAATATTACATTCAAATCAAAAATTATATAAGAGTAAAATGCTCACTCGTAATCCTTTTGAAAATGGTGAAAAATTGCTAATCCTTAATTGTAGATAAAACAAGTGCTATACTAAGCACAGTCCGTAAAAACCAAAACACTGATACATGGGGCAGGAACTTTAAATCTTCTGACACCAAAATATGGAAAAAATGTCACTAATGACATAAAAACTTGAGTCACTGCTAAACTATGATTTATTTACATGTAACAAAGGTGATTAAAAGAAAAAAAAATTGTCGCATCATTATACGTTTGCATTTGTCATCCTCATTGTTACTCGGCGGTGCATTTATCTAGGTTGTGCATTTTGTTTTCATAATTCAGTTACAGTTGCATGGCCATTTACTATATAGCAGGGGTCCCAAAGAGCACATTCTAGAATATCAGTTGGATGACGGGCACCATTTACTTTTTCAAGGTGAATTTATAGCTGGATAGAGTTAGTAATACAGGCATATAAAAAAAGAAATTGGCCGCATTTCACTTTGTGCTGTTAACTGTGTTGGACGCAATTTCTATTTCATTAAAAATGAGAAAACTATCACATAGAATTTAATTGATGCTTAGTCTTATGTTCATTGCCATATTCATTCAATATTACTTTTATTCACCTCACAGTGCTTTATTAGTTGAGATTTAAGAAATACTTTTTGTGTAATAATTTTTTATTCAGTAAAAGGGCTTTTTAAAAGTCATGAGTATTATCATTTAATGTTAGTTATTACAAACAAAATTTAAAGAAATGTACACTGCACACACATACTCACAAAAAAAAGGGGGGGGAGGGACAGTTTTCTATCTCCCATTCTACTTAGCTGACTGAAGAAATTCAACATGCGTTTTTCATGTCTCAAAAGCACAACTTAGGATATGTATTAGATTTATATATAGCATAATTCTAATATAGATATTTTGACACAAAATTGGACTTTTTCTGAAATGACATGTCAATTGTTTTTTCAGATTTCAATTCTACAACTCCAGTTAGACCAAACTGCCAAGTTTTGTAAAAATCCCACGAGTAGTTTTTAAAAAATTAGCTATCAAAATTTTAGCTCCTCTGTGTCAATTGAATTTGATATTGTATGTGTATTAGTATCTCTTTTTTTTTTTTTTTTTTTTTTTAAACTTACTTTATTCCTTCTTCCAGAATTTAAAATTTAGGTTTCATTCCAAATAAAATTCACCCATTTTTTGTGATTTATTTTTAAAATTTGTCTTTTAAATAATTTTTATAAATTTTTTGAAAAAGATTTTGAATTATAACCTATAAAACTTTTTACTATTGTCTTAATGTAGATGTATTTCTAAGTATACCTGCAAAATTAAAAATTTCCTAGGATATTCGTGAATTTACATATTGGAGCATTATGCCCAAATTTTATAATATAATATAATAATACCAAATGTGGTTTACGCACTTTGTTAAAATTATTTGAAATAATAAACAGTGACCTTTTTTCTGCTCGTTTACAATGGAAAAAAAAAAGGGAAAAGAAAATAGGTTGCTATAATTTAAGAAGTTTGCCAAGTGAATTATTCTTGGCACAAACTGAAAAAAAATGTGCCAAGATAAATTTTTGAATTTCTCTGTAAATTTCTCTCCAAACTTTACAAAACTTAATATTTATGCATGATTTGAGTCGTAGAATCGAAATATGGAAAAAAATTGGCATGTCATTTCAGGAAAACTTTGATTTTGTGTGAAAATACCTATATTAGAACAATGCTATGTGTAAATCTAATATATATCTTAAGTCGTGTTTTCAAGACATGAAAAATACAATTTGAATTTCGTCAATTGACTCAATAAAACGGGAAATATAGAACTGTTCTCCTTCCCCCCCCTGCGCAGTGTACATTAATGCTTCATTTTGTGATAATTATTGTATAAACTGGCATATGAGTGATAATGGATTTAATTAGTATTGCTCTGTATTGCCACCCAGATGGTATATTGGTTAGGAGAGCATGACTGCAACACAGAAGGGCCTGGGTTCGAATCCTGGAGAAGGCATGTATGTAAAATTGTCTGTCTGTTCATAGGAGGTAATGGTGGTTGCCTATTGGGTGCCTCCACAATAAAATGGCCATATTTATTGCCTATAACAGGACTGGCCTTAGGAGTGGCCAATGCAGTTATAGGCAAGTGCCCAGCATTGGGGGGGGGTATTGCTCTGTATTACAAATCAGAATGCAGAAATTATTTACAAGTCAAACTGGATTGCTGTAAGGGCAATATTTACCATACAGTATATTTGATCAGTATAGTAATATCATATATCAAAATACCACCATATCATTTTATAATGAGTATGACATATAAAATCTGATACATGATGGAATTAGTAATCCTGACCAACCAAGATCACAGGGCATTAAGATAACAGGAAAATTTGGATAACTTAAGTACCTCTTTTTTCTATAGATGCATTTGCATAATGCAAGTGAGAGAACTGCATTTCTTTTTATTTTATTTGTCCCAAAATTGTACGCTAATAAATAAATAAATTCTTTTATGTCTAGTTAAAATATGTATTTTGCTTAATATGAATACATTTATAATACACTTATTAAATGGTGTGTTTCCTCTCTAATTGTTTTTTGCATAAGAACTATCACATTCATGAAAACAGAAAAATCACTTCATATGTCAAAAACTCAGAATAACTGGCCATGGTAATATGCATATAATAAAACATGAATTTCTAACTTGAAGTGGTCCCTATGGTTTTTATCCTATCTTTTGAAAAAACAGGCAATGATTTGCATGCTAAATCAAAAACTGTAAGCCTACATATAACGTAATAATTGCTTTTCTAATAATGTTTGTAATCGATGTAATTTCCAAATGATAAATGTGGTGACATATAATTGATATATGATAATATTGTTGCTTTAAATAAGATCAGTATATATGGTACAGAAAGATATCATATATATGCCTTCGTATAAATTAATTTCAGTTTCAAAATATGTATTGCACTTTTTTTCTTTATTATAAATTGACAAAATGAATTAAAATTGCACAAATAAACAAACAATAAGCCTTATTTTAATTGCTCTTGAGAGAAAAACAAGTGATGTGGATAATTAGAGTTCTACTATCAATATCATTTCTTCTTCTTTCAAAGGTATTTTTACTTAAAAGTACTTTATAAAATATAAAGTAGATATAAGCAAAAAAAGCCTTTCCTAGCAAAAGTACCTATCAAAAAATATATTTTATTGGTGAAATACCATTATAATTATTATTCTAATAGTAAAACCTTTTCCTTCAAATCTAACAAAAATTTTTAATTTTTTTCCAAGTATGACATTTTATTTTGATGATTTTTTCAGAGATTATAGCTATCATTATACTGGATTTCTAAACATTTGCTGCAATCAATGTTAAATGTTACCAAAGATTCCTCCAATACACTTTCTAAAACTTTTATTTTTGTTTCTGTGTGCGAAATTCAGCAATCCATTCCACAGATCTAATAATCTTAATATAAAACCTTTGGGATTGTAGATTACCTATATGTGTATTTGTAATTTGAATGTTTTTTAGCATGTTATGCAAATTTAAATCCTTTTAAAAACCTCTTTATTATATATATATATATATACACATTTTGTGGCAGTCTGCTTAAAATTTTGATTAATATTTTTTAGTTCATGTAAATCTTTTGAAGAATAGCATTTTGACTTTATAGCATAAACCCTAAGGTTAAGATTAAGTAAACAGCATTTGTAAGTTAATCATTACTTAGTTAACTGGTGGGCCATAAATCCATAGGATCCAAGCCTAATTTTTCCTGCCATTTTTTTCTGTTTATCTGGAGAACATCATGTATCTTGATAACTGCATTATTATTATTATCAGCAAAAATATAGGTGGAATTTTATCTTATAATGAAATTACTGATAATTTATATGGAAAAGTCATCATTTATTTGAAGTGTTAAAAAAAAAATTGGGATTTATATGTAGATTTGTAAGATATGAAATGTGTACAGTTTTTCTATCGTTTAAAGATCTATCACCTTAATGGTACTAGAGAACAATTTAGAATGTTCATTACCTTTCTGACTGTGTTCTGCTTCTAATATTTTAGGTGTCAAAATACCATACTTGTGCACCTGTATTTTCATCTGCATGTATCATCTCATCAGAAAAAAGTGAAAGTATAGTATTTGGCTGTGATGATTGTTATATATATTATATAAACTCTCAAGCTGAATGCAGGTGGAAAACACAGTGTGATTCTCCTGTTTATGCAACACCATTCACTTTCCAGTGGTTAAATCAGACTTGTATTGTTGTTGCATCTACAAGTGGTACATTGTACATTCTCAAAGAAGATAATGGTGAAGTTCTGCAGTCATGGAAAGTTCCTGGAAAAGTATTTTCATCACCTGTTGTTTTGAATAATGTATTAACTTTTGGTTCCAGAGATAATAATGTATATATTTATAATTTATAAAAAAAATTATGATTTTTTATAATTCTTTTAGAAGAAATTTCTTTATTGAGTCTTTTCCCATATTAAGAACTTCATTTTTAAAACATCTGATAAACGAATCAAAAACTTCTTGAAAAGTTCTAATTCTTGAAAGTTTCCCCTTAGAAAGTCCTCTATGAAGGCATCCTTACCACTGGGCAAATACTCTTTGTGTGCATTACCATATTCAAATAACCTAACCCTTTCATTCTGTATTTCATAGTAATGTAATATTTCATATTACTTCTTTTTTATTTCTTACTTTTAGTTTAACATATACAGGGTGTGGCAGCATTCATAGCATAATTTGACTTGCGTAGTACAATGACGTAGTGCATGAGTGTGCGCCAGCTCATGCCACATTCAAGTACTAATGAGCTGCCATTTCGAGTGTGACAGTGATATGAACCAGTGGAATGCACAGCACCATGCCCTTGCTGTTGAAAGTTATTTCAAGAATAACTACTCTGTTATTGCTCAGCGTCTATTTCGACAACATTTCAACTTGGGACGTCATGGGAAAGTTCCAGGTGGACAGACCATTGCGACAGACATTTCCAGGTAGAGTAATTTCCCGTTTTGGTGACATTTCCTGTTCTCCTCGCTCACCTGATCTTTCGTGTTCAGACTTTTTCCTTTGGGGCCATCTGAAGCAAGAAGTTTTCCGAACACATTGTGCCACCATTCCTGAGTTGAAGGATCGCATCAGAACTGCCGTCGGCAATGCCCCAGCGAATACGTTACGCTGAGTTATGGCAAGCTTCCACGCCACCTAGATGAATGTGTTGTGCAGAGGAAGCATCATATTCAAAAAGTAATCCACGCGATGGACAATGACTTAACACATTAGTAAAGGGCATACCTTTAACTATTAATTGATGTAAGAGGTAATAAATAAATTACATTTACTGCCTTATATTGTGTTTTGAATATCCTACTATGAATGCTGCTGCACCCTGTATCTAAAGAGAAACGTGTTTACCTTTTTTATATACATTGCTTCTCAAAATAAAAGGATATTGACAGAAATAAAACTTATATGTTACATACTGAAAAATTATAAAAAACGGTTTGTACAAAAGCAAAATTCAATAAAAATTAACATGTTTACCAGTTGATTAATTTCAAAATATTGATAAATAGATTTATAGAAATTAAAAAATGATAGAAAGTGATTAAAATTCTTTCTTTAATATTGTTGTGTTATCTTTCTTCCTTCACATTACGTTTAAGGGGTTCATGCGGTTTTGGAGTGAATAATGACAACAGCATTTGATGAAGTATCAAAACACACTTTATTGGTCAGTATTATTCAAGACAGCTCCAAAATCACATTTTACAGTCGTTGAAGAAGTACTGTAAACACTCTGAAACAATCATCGACACAGCCTTCCGGCTATAATGTTGGAGACAGCTTCACTGCAAAGCACCAGAGTACACCTCCTGACTCTGCTCGGCCGTTCTCAAAACTCCACGTACTCTCAAGACTCTCCACGCTGCACTTGACAATACATTAGAGTACAGTTCCCGACTCCTCAGTTCAGTCGTTCCCAGAGCTCAACACACTCTCTCGAGAATGCACTAACCGCGATACACTAAGAGACTCTTTCGGTGCAGTCAACGATCAACTCGGCACTCGCTCATTGACTATCAACTCGATGGACTCTCACTAACTCTCCGCGTACCAGCAGGGTTTATATAGCTTTCGGTTTGTGTTCGAGAACATTCTGGGCTAAACCAGTAAGAATTCGTTCCAGAAGGTTTTCCATCTCTCTATGGCATATCGCCAATTTTGTCACCAAATGGGCAATTTCTGGCCAAATGTGGCAAACCTGCATTCCCTCGCCATTTTATAGCAACCCTAAACCTGCATTGCAGGGAAGCTATTCCACCGCACTTGGACATTTCGTAATAATATGATATATGATCACTTATGATAGAAATGCAAACCTCACATCTTGGTTTCATAGAATTTACCTAACTTGAGTATGTAGCAATTTGGCAGTCTAAGATATCCCATATATATCCTCCATTGTATTCAAATTTGGTATGTAACCTGGGCAAACCATTTGAATGGTACCTTCTCTTTCCAAGTATTCTGACACCATAGATGTTTGATGAAGCCTCGTCATCCATTAGCAAACAGCCTGGACCAGCTGCACTGGGATTCTAAGATCTCATCACATATATGTGACATTTTACAGAAATTAGATAAAAAAATATACAACTCAGTGCAGTCATTTTTGGTTGTTTCATCCCACACTATGAAACCATTTTCCATAAAAATGGGATCTTTCATGAACAAGGGAAAGTAAGTCGTACATTCTTTGCTTCCTTCAGATTGAAACATATCTAGAATCAAAATTTAAACTTTTTCGACAACTTAAACTGGACTTGTACATGATTCCATTCCTCTTGGCCCATTGAACACGACACTACTTTAAATGGACCCCTAGGAAGACGAAATGAGTAGGACATAAACCATGGTTTTCTTGGATAAAATTCAACATTGTGAATGAAGCCTTTGTGCTGCAGCAGAACAACTAATCTGAGTTCCTGTGGCAGCTTGAAGGTCTACAACGAATTCTTTTGTAATCACTTTAGGTTTCTTTAAGCCAACACTGACAGAAACTGCCTTTGTAGCAATTGTTGCTCTTGACCTACTAAATGATTCACTGTTTAAAAACTGGTTTAAAGCTCTTTATACAATACTTTAAGAGGTATTTAGATCTTGAGCGATTTCCACATGTATTTATCCACTCTAAAGTCTTCCAATCAACAACCACTTTTGCCTTCATTTAAATGATACTTTGAGTCATAACTAATGAATAGTGATTATTCTCAGAAATTACATTAAACAACAACACTGCATATCCAAATTCTAAAATGTGTCCATTATGCAACACATTATCAGTTGGTTAATTTGTATCATTTGCCAGTCGGCTGAAGACAATAGACATTTTTCTAAATTAGCCTTCAATTCTTATCAGCAGTCCATATAGGCATTGGATAGTACAGTCAAAAGTTGTTAATTCGGACACCCATAATCCGGAATGATCTATAATCCGGACCTCAAAGCTAAAAACTTTCTGCGCATGTGCCGCATTGACACATGCGCATAAAACCTTTACGACTGCGCATATGCGTGTGCGCAAAAGCAGAATACGTTTTCGCGTGCGCATTTTATGTATAACGGGCGGTATAAGCTAAAATTGTCTAATTATCTATTTCAGTTAATGTTGATGATTGCGTTGTTTCTTAATCTTCGAATTGGATCCAGCTTATTATTTTTTACAGACTGTTAGAGCAATTTTATGAAAGTAAACTTGAACTTTCAATTATGTCAAATAGAATTTCCGATGCTGGAGCTCCCAAAGGAACTGAACAAGAAATTATGTCTGTTTACAGAATTTAAAAAAAAGTATTATCACATAAAACAAAGCAACTTAAACAACTTACATTGAAAGAAATGTTTAATAAAGTAAACAAATAAATATTAAGCTTTTTTTTGTAAATTTTGATACTCTTAGATCATAATTGTTCTTTATTTCATAAATTACGGTTTCATATTTTTAATTTTAGAATTTCTGCATGCCATCTTACGAGATTTAATCTGATGATCTATAATTCGGAATCGCCGAAGTCCCGACGAGTCCGGATTAACGACTTTTGACTGTAATAATGAAATCATTTTTCTGCAAATGACTATGCAATTTCTTTTTGAAATCTTTAGAGTCTTCTAAGGAAAAAATCTGCTAAAAATTAAAAATTTAAAAAAAAAATTCTCATTTCCTTTGAAAAATGTATAGAACAACTCAAGGTCATTTACATATGTACCCGTTGGCAGCACTGGAACAACAGAGTTTTTATAAAAGCTTTATTCATAACAAAATACTAATATTGAAAATTTAGTGTTCATCATTGTTTTCAGATTTTTTTTTAATAAGCAAGGAAAGTCAATTTGAAATTACAAAAAAATTAAATATTCATATTATGTTATGCTTTGAAATGTCTGCAAAAAATATATTTGCATCCGATTAAAAAAAAAAAAAAAAGATTCCGTCCCTCCAGAAAGAAAAGGTAGCTTCAAAACATAAAATCACTATTTGATTTGAAATTTGATGACAGTCTGAGGAAAAATAAGTTTTTCTGATCTTGCTTTAGAATTATCAGAGAAAATTCAATGCCAGTTAATGCTGTAACAAAGAAAAAAATTATAACAGCTAATCTTATAGGTTGCAAACTTAGAATTGTGGCTGTCACAGAAGAGTGTACAATTAAGGCTAAAATGTTCTAATATACATACAAATTACAAATTAAAATAAATCAATTATTTTTCCCTTGAAAACAAACTTTTTGTTTGAGGTGGAGGTGGTGGTGGTGAGCTTTGTTTTTCACACTGAAATCCCTGTTTCAAACATGTCTTAAATGCTATTAGCAAGAAATTTAATCTATTAAAAATGCCTTTAGCTTTTATGTATATAATGCATCATACACAAGATAAAAATACAATAATGAATGTGTGATCCCCACTGTAAAATACGATGTAGGTCAGTGGCCTGGACTGGCATCCTCCGAAGCAATTTTATGTGGCCTGCAAATATATCAATTTTGTATTTGTTGCAAAGATTTTGAGATTTTAATTATTTGGTGTCCAAATTTACATTATCATAACCACTAAAAACAACATAACTCATCAGAAAATGTACAAATAGTTAATTAATTTATAATGTGATATAAATCTTACTGAAAGATTTGAAGATAAGATAGATTTTATTAACTTTTCTTCATACTTGTCAAAAAATTAATATTCTCAGTTATGAACTTTTGTTTAATAAATATGGAGAGCTTCAGTTTCAACTGGATAAATACCATACCACAAATCAGTGGTTTGAATGTAATGTGCAGAATAATACTACTCATATCTTAGACATGCCTCCATATAAAGAACTCGAATTTTAAAATGTACATAATAGGGTATTAAAAATTTTATTTATCACACTTCTGGTACAAAATAATACTTGTTACAATATGTTATTAAGAAGTACAAATAAAATAACTTTTTAAATGATTCACTTTTATTTGCTGAAAAGCAATCTTTGAAAATAAATAAAGAGATCTTATATAATGAAAGTTATTGTCCAAGATTTCTGTTTATTATGGACAGATTTCATAGCAAATTGAAAACAACAGAAACATCTGATATAGTACTATGCATTATTTTTTTCCAATTTCTTTAACATTAAAAAAAAAAAAAAAAAAAAAAAAAAAAAAAAAAAAAACCCATCATTAGTGTGAATAAATCATGTTGCTAAATTTGCATTAATATTTCTTTATTTAATTGGCTTGATTTAAGTATCTGAGAAAACAGTCTTGAGTTTAAATGTCTAAATGAGGGAGATTTATGCAACACACAAGATTGTAAGCACATAATTATGGCAGAGTTTTCATTTTTGTAAATGAATTGAAAAATTATATGAGAAATAATGTATGTATGTATCTTTCTAGGGAGATAGAAAATCATTTATTCCAACATAAACAATTAATTTCTAGGAACAAACATTTTTACTTTAAGATAGGAGTGCAATTTTTGTTTCCTCCTAGTTTTAGAATTTGCTTTTCTTCAAAAAGTCAATTCTTAATATATCTACAGATCAGAAATATTTCTACAGCAATTACTACAGATAAATATTTTATTAGTAAGCTATTTCTATTGTGTGAAATAATTTGATAAAAATTGTAAATTAAATTGTTTAAAAAATAGTAAATTAAATTTTAAGTAATTCTCTTGTGTCATTGCTGCAAGGAATGAACTTTGAATTTAACAAATATTCTCTATTCGTATAAAGCAAATAAAAATTTTAATTGAATTATGAATTTAATGCAAAGAAGTGAAAATAAAAATAATTATTACTGCTGCAAACTAATTTACAATATCATTTAAATTCTAAGAGCATATGTAAATTAACTGCACGTATCTAAAACCATGGAAAAATATATTATTCCAAAAAATTACATAAGTGAATAATTGTTGAGTAGGCAGGAGACAGACTTATCAAGGAGAAGTTGCCCCCGAATAGAGAATATTTGTTAAATTGTAAATTCAATATATTATTAAAAATAATGAGTATATGTATTATTCTTTATTTGTTAAATTTTTTAAACTGATGAATGGCAAATTGCGATACAGTGCCACATTGCGATAATTTGAAAAATTAATAGGGACTGGCACCAAGTAGATAATTAAAGTAATGGTAAAAGAGTGTAATCATTTCAAATGTCAGATCAGTAAATCTTACCAACAGAAAAATAGAATAATTGTATATATTTTCTCTGAGTCACTTTTAATTATATATACATGTGTTTTTTTCCTAGCATTTTGATGTTACAAAATATTATTACATACAGTAAAATTCACTTAATCATTTTTCAAAGCTTCATTCTTTAGACATAAAAATGGAGAGTTTATAAAGAAAACAGATGTCAGAATATTGAATGCAAATTGAAATATCCATTATCAAGAAGATTATTTTTTGTACCTACAGATCTTTAAACAGTAAGATAATGTAGCTCTTCATGCACATTTTAAGAAAGCAACTTGAAACATCATTTACTGCATTAAATAACAGGCATACATAAAGTGGAATGATACTATCTATGCCAATCCTTCATCAATCCAAGGATCAATACAGTGTTTTTAAGTTAGCTTATCATATAATTTTATTTATTTTTATCATTGAGCTATGGAGCAAAACCTCATTAACATGAGGTAATAAAACAAATATTTGCTTATTAACACATACACTGCTGTACTAACGAATGATTATAATAGCAAATAATTTATATTTAGCAAATATAATAGCAAACAATGATAGTTAAGATTTACAAATTGCTGTTATAACATTATGTTTTTATATCCATAAATAAACAATAATAATAATAGTGAAAAATACATATCAGTCGCAAGTAGTGTGTCCCCAATGTAGTATTAGTTTCTTACATCAATTGTATTTTAAACGATAGTACTTGAGAAAAAAAGACAAATATAAATACTTTTGAGGTTAAAATCCAAATAGCAACATTTGACAGCCATGGCCCCAATGTGAAGTACCGTTTGCATTTCCTTGACAAAGCACTATATGTGTTAAAACAACAAAATGTTTTGGTATTAGAAAAAAAGCTTTTGTTGGTTTCTATTTTGTTAGGCCCTTCAATTTTACTGGAACCTCTATTTAGAATGCTCTGACTGCAAACTTCTCACAGGTAATTATTCCAGTCTATTACTGTTTTATTGGGCATATCATGTCCAAAGTTTTTTTGATGATAGGATCCCATAATTTTAAAGATAATCTGCTTATTGTTGTATAGAAGGCAGGTCCCAAATTTTAATATTTTCCTCCCAAAATGCAAGGAAAATTCATCAGTAACAGTTGACTGATATCTTTGTACTTGAAAATAAAATGCTTATCAAGAATCAATCAGTTTTACGTCAAATGAAAGCACAGTTGTCATGAGTATGTGGTTAATGTCTTGCTTATCCAAGATTGATACTAAATCACGCTACTTGGCAACAGCTTCATGGTTGATAATACGTAAGTACCAACTTTTTTCATTAGTACAAAATATTTATATAAATTAAACCGTTATAATTACATTCTACAACAAGTAGCTTTAGCTATAACCCAAGTCACAGTTTAGACATTATTTTTCTTTTTCGTGCCCTGAAACTATCACTGTGCTATAATGGAAACTGATGACACATAAAAATATTTACTTTTCAATATTCATGATAACAAAGGAACTTTAGATGCCTTTTCTTTAATCTTACAATTTTTACAATATTTACTTTTAAATTACACATAATAAAAATTCATGCACTGACTTCATATAAGAAAAGAAGCTTAGCTTATTGAAAAGTGCATTTACTACTACAGTATAACTTTTTGGGCTAATCTTTGGAATATGGTAACAAGTAGTTTGGTGACATTTTGGTAAGGTGATAAAGGTTACTAGCTAGGATTTTAGCAGTGTACATGGATAAAGTCAAGAGTGTGCCCAATGCCATTTTTGTGCAATTCTGGGATGTTTTTTTTAAGTGAAAATAAGTCGACGTGTACATGGATACTGTGTATGTGCAATTCTTAAAAACGCGGCAAGCAGTGGACGATTCTGCACTTTCTCCCAATTTCGCACATAATCGTCGTCATGATTAAGCACTTTTGTACCATAAAAGTTCTAGCATAAGCGTAATTAGGCTAGCAGATTGTTGGAAAAAAATTTTGAGTAAGGAAAAAAAAAAAAAAAAAAACCATGCCTTTACTTTGTGAAAATAAAATGGCGTCCAAAAAAAAAAAAAAACTAGCAGGTTGCTGTAGCAGGGTTGGTCGCCAAAAATCGCCAAGTTACCATAATCTGAAGATTAACCACTTTTTGTTGTGTGGGTCAATAAAAATTCAAATGTTCTATATCACAATCCATAATCTCTAGTGAACAATTAAAATAAATTCATAAGTTATTTTACAGATAAATTATAACAATGTGGAAATTAAAAATAACCCATAGACATAGAATAAAAAATATATCATATACCAAAGTCATTTAATAATAAGATGAATTTTGTACATATTACACCTTCCCCTCTGAGAAATGATTTTATATCTCTTTTCAAAATCATACTTTAAAAAATAAGAAAAATTTAATAATATTGTATACTAAAAAAAATGCTGCTTTCAGATGTCCCCTTTTAATACATCTTAAATAAATCACTTCAACACATCTGTTAAATTATTTTACAGGTGATCATAAAGAAGTCAAATTTTATCCATTCTGTACAATATTTCTGAAATTCAGTCAGTGTTACTATTAAAAGATTTCCATATGCATTTCCAAAAAAGCCCTACTAACAAAAAGAGTCACACTTGATAAATATAAGTTGGCTTGATGATTTTTAACTAAATATCATCACAGTACAAATGCATACCTTTTACTTGTCATATTATATGTAATAAAATATAATTTACACAAAAAGTATCAAAATTACAGGTAATTCAGATTCATTGATAAAATGGCTATATTGAAGCTAGTTATATCTGAAATTATTTGATGAATACAGACAGGCCAAAACTGACAAAAAGAATTACACATATTGCTTGACAATAGTTTCTAATTATTTCAATAATATATTTATACAATAAATTTATGAGGTTTGAACAAATTTATGATAAAAAACTATAATATCTTCAAGCATGTTGTTCACCTGGAAGGAACAATGAAATTTTTGCCATACTCAATACACTTTAAATTCAGAATCTGTAGAATGTAAATATATTTTTTCATATAATAGCTCCAAAAAAATCTGAACAAAAAGTATAGGCTAATATGCTAGAAAATATACCAATAGTTAATATAAAATACACATGTATCCCAGGCCATATATGACATCTTAGCCGATATAACTATTCTTTCATCTAAACATTAATATCATAATCTAATTTTTTTGGTGTGCTGTAGACTATTATATTTTAACTTAAAAAGTCATGACTTTGTTATCATTAAAAATTTTAATGTCACTAATATATCAATCTCAAATTCACCAAACATTTTACAGTTAAATCCATTATAAATTTTCAATAAAGCAAACATTGCATTCTTAAACGTCTTTTGTTAATCTTGTTTGATATGATATACTTGATTTTTTTTCACAAAATAATTTCACATACAGTTAGTTATGTATCACTGACCTATTATGTATCATTGATGATGGGATATTAACATCCCTACATTTAACTCTTGACAAATATTCTTTTAATAGTATTAAACTTCTTCCTTTATAGTGACACTTAAAATAGTTTAAAAAAAAGATTGCACAGTTACTCTATTTCAAGAAACAGATTTTGGGAAATTATGCAAATGATTCACTTATATTTGAAACCTGTAAATAAATCTTCATAATTTTACAACTGCAATTTAACAGTTTGACTACAATAGAAATTTTATCTGGGAACAATATTTTTAATCTTTTTAGCATAACTAATAATTAGAATTAATTTTTGATCATCTATTTAGCACTATTGAGATGACAGACCAAAGGAAATTATTAACTGCTTATGATTTTTATTTAATATTATATATAAGTTATTGCAATTCCCTCTCTTTTCAGAGCTTTTCATTTATTTCTTACTGACATTTTTACTTACAGCAATTTAAATAACAACATAACATGATGCAATTTAATAAGTACGTCTACGCTCTTTTTTGTTAAAAAAAGTTGCATCTTTTTTGTTAAAAAAAATACTATTACAGAAACAAAATATTTTCTGGGAAATCTATGAAGAACACTACAAATGATGTTTGTCAAAAATGATTCCAAAGATTTAGAACTGACACGAATGACAAAGAAAGAGTTTGACAGCAACAAGAACTCTTTTATCAAGATCTAACTCGAACATTTAAGGATTTGAACAGGCAACTACTAATTAAATATATTTGAAAATCTGATGAACTTTTGCAATTCAACAGATATGCGCTTATTGCACATTATTAAACAGCCTTACATTCTGTAACAGCAAATAAATTATTTCCATGCAGCTCTAAGAGTTTTACGGGCAGCAAGTTTTTTAGTTGTATAAGATAAAACCAACAAAATAAGCAGCACAACACTGATCAAATAATGATCAAAATCATCTTTTAAAATATCAAATGTTTTAGAAGGAGTGACTCTTGTATAAAATAAATCAAGTCCATGAACAAATACTAAACATGTAGATTCTAAACCTGATGGAGCTGTCACGATACCTTGCACACGCATGATACTCTGATTATAATTTACAATTCCTTCAGACATAATAGGGAGTTCAGGAATATATGGAATGAGACCCTCTTCTCGATGTTCTGGCAAAGGATTAATAGGTCGTCTTGGATCCAAGAAGGTTTTGGGTAATTCTAAAATTCCACCAGAAGGTAAAGCAATCAAAAGATGCTTACTAGTCATCCCTCTTTCAGTTACAGTATCTGCCATAGTTTCAATAACAGAAGGAAAAATAAATGTTTGATGTTCAACAAGTGGAAGCGGAGGTGGAGCAAATGACGAAAATGCTGTTGTATTGCTCTGATACATTCCTTCAAATAATTCAATAGATGATATTTCAATTCTCCGCGATTTATCATTGTAATAACTATAAACAATCCAATTTTCAGAGTGAACTACGTGTATGGGACTTTTACATCTCTTGTGTGATGCAGAGTATACAATTAAACCAGTAATTATATCAATAAGATAAATGTTACAAAATGTCTTTTGAACAGAATCACTGCCTTCAGTAAAAACAGCAGCTAAATTTGGATTCAGATATTTATAAAGTACACTTCTGTCACCCATTACTCGACCTTGGGAATGGACATGTTCTTGCGGTTTCTTAGAGACTATTTCAATAATAGCTTGGGGTAATTTTATATTCCAAACTTCAACTGCTCTCAAAGAATTATTTTCACCATTTATAAGTTTATATCCCACCAAACTTCCAGCTGATGGTTCAGCAGTAAATATGAAATGAGTATTTTTATGTTTTGAAATATCATGTGATTCAGGATATATATGTACAGTCATATTTGTGTCTAGTAAAAGAATTTCCCGTAGATAAAAACTCAAACCTCCAGACATAACTTGGATTACATGATAAGGCAAACTTTTGCTTTCTAATGTAGTCCCAGAAATTGGATTAAAAGAATAAATGTGACTTTTCTTGGACTTTGAATCTATTCCTACAGCAGTACAGATTGGTGGATATGGATAATGTGCAGTTGTACGTTGTACAAATAAAGGCAAATACTGTTTGTAATTTGTAACAAAAGGAGAAAATCCATTTTCATAATGGCTCCAGATAATTAACCCAGATAAATTATCTATTCCAAATGCTTTTCCAGGTTTTGTGAGGACAATTATGATTTTATGCAGTCCAAATGTATCCCTCATCAAGGCCTTTTTATCTCCAATGCCACTGTCGCTATCACTTTTAAATCCTGTTAGTGCATGTATTAAGAAAGTCTGTAATAAATAAACTTGAGATTTCAAACGAGTTAAAAACATAGAAATTAGTCCTGCATCAGGATGACCAAATTCTTGCTCGATATTTGCATCTGTTTCTGATAAGGGTAAATCAATTATTTCTGATGACAAAATATTAGATAAAGCTTCTTCTCGAGACCATACCATTCGACCATGTTGGTGAATAACTAATACAGAATGATCCTCAAATAATAACAATACTTTATAACTAATACCGTGATCTTTTTTAATATAGGGTAAAATAAAAAATGTCTCTAGATCACCCCGATCTTCAGACAAACTAAAGCTTCCATCTAAATGTTGTAGCTCAGCATTCGAATCTGCATCAAATGCCTTAATAGAATAAATATTATCCATCAGACACATTGAAAATAACAGAAAATTATCATCAATCATCATCATTTTTACTTTGCAGACATTATTAAATATCTTATCTACTTTTAATGTAGCTGGTAATGTCTGTAAAATCAGAAGACGATTCTCTAATTGCATAGCAATTATGTTATTTACATATGACAACTTGGATGGAACAGATACAATATTCACATTACGAATTATTGCATTATCACTCCCTTTTGCCATCATATAAATACCATCTAAAGGTATATCAGGAATGAACTTATGATCTTTAACAGGTACTAAATACATCAACTTATTTTTGCTATCAACACATAAAAAGAACACACTTGAACTAAAGCGGCACTTGGAATTTTCATCTAACCATGAAGGCCTATCAACATCTAATGTTTTCAGAGAAGCACGAGTATAACTGTAAACTGATACTTTAAAATACTGCTTTGGAATTATTTCAACTTTAATAATGTCTTTTGCCTGAGAGTCGATATGAAAGTATAACTGTGCATCGTTCTTTTGAAGATTTGGAAAAGATGTTTCCCATTCCAAAACGCCTGTAGTTGAGTCCCAGCTTCGTATAAACTGCCCGCCACCACTTACAGTTATTAAATCGCCCTCCTCTGACATAGCATTTATTTTACCAACTTTGCCTTTTTCTAGCACTTGCCTCCAAATAATGCTACCTGTGCGAGTACTTAAGCATGCTAAAACATTTTCTTCAGTGGATACAATAAATTTATGCGTGCCAGAAACAGCAGGATCAATGTATGCAAATTTAATTTTGCCTATGTACTGCTGTCTCCAGTCAAATTTGCCGACTTGATCCTCATATAAACAGTTAACTATTTCAAAATAAGTAAAACATATAAGTATTTTAAGCAACGCAAATACTTTCGTCCACCTCATCTTAACTAAGTCAAATGAATCTCTGATTTTATAAGCACAATTACAATTTTTAATTAACAACTAATTACACTTGTTCCTCACATGAAAACTCAGATGGAACACTTCTCGATCTTCTTTTGAAGGGGGCACGGAGTATAATGAAGGAGGTGAAACTGCCTAGTAGAAAAACGGTCCTAAAATGTCGCGTTCACTAGATGGCGCTGTTGTTCCATCTTAGTAGTTCCAAATGTAAACATTTATCGAGTAGCCACGCGGCGAAGCTTATGGATTGCGTTATTATCAACGTTATAATATTCTGCTCACTAATGATTGTATTTTATTCCTCAAATTATAAAATTAATTTACAGCTTTCATGCTGTAAGGCTTGTAGTACTTTTTATGAATGATTAATTTAATGATTATTTTTCAGTCCCTCCCCCTCAGAAAAATAATCATATTACTAGTAATAATACTTGCTGTATATATATGTTAAATTTAATTAGAATAGTTTCTTCGCGTCTCTCATTTTGTAAAATGCTTAGATACACAGCTTGATATAAACTGTGGCGAAATTTTAATGAAGCTTATAGAATTTTTTGCTTCAGTCAGTAAGTTTTCTGTACTATCATAATAAGTTATTCTTTTTTATAAATCAGTTAATTTTTTATGTCAGTTTTGATTTTGATATTTTTATCGTTTTCTGTTGTTCTTTGTTATTTGAGAAGTATGTTTCAAATTGATTTCAAAAGATTTTAAAATAGAATTCGGATTTGAATTCAGTTAAGTATTCTGAACGCTTGGTTATGCTGAACTATATTATTCATAATTAAATATAAAGAGTAAAAAATATTGACTAATTCAATCTATCTTTAATTTTGTTCCTGCTTGAACTACTTCTAACCAATAAATGCAGTATTTTAACTAAAATATAATGCAGATCTTTTTTATTTTAAAAGTACATGTCCACTTTCCTTTCCAAAGCAGGAAAATTCCATCCCATTCAATAGCCTAAAAGATGAATTTCTTATGTTCAGAAAAATTTTATCACAGTTATAATGTTATATTTTCTCGCTGTTAAGTTTCAGATTGGTACATGTAGCTTTTTTGAAAAAAATGCTTTGCATGTGTTATTTTTTACTGCCCCTATTTTTTATTTTCATTTTTTGAACTGATCATTTACTAATAGAGTCTAATTACATTTGTTGCAAAACTACCTGTTTAATATCAGAATACCTAATTCATGCTTGCTGCGGTATTTAAAAAATATCATTAACTATATAAAACTGTTTATATAGTTAATGAACTAAAACATTAACTATATAAAAAAGTCTGTTTTCTCTTGCAGTAATTATTTACTTTTTTTATTCTCAATTTAATATCTCTTTTTCAATGATTAATGACTCGCAGTCAAAGAAACAAGTTCAATTTAAATAACAAAAATTTTTTAAAAATTTAACAGTAATGATATAATCCCAAAACAATCTTAGCAGTATTGTTTTATATTATTACACACAATGGTGAGCTATAGGAGGCTAGAGTGATTCGTTAAATTTGTGTTCAATTTGCAAGCACCTTGTTCTTTCCCACCAGCAGTTGAGCAAGCAAAAGTCACCAAATACTGCTGGTTTGGTCCTGGGTTCGAATCCCGCCAAGAGGCTAGCTGCATGGGCATTTTCCTGGTCTTTCCACGTGAAACATAAAAAAGTACATGTGCTCTTTTCCTCCAAAGGATATATATGAAGACATTGAACTGTTGGCCATGGTTAAATTATATATTAACTCTCGTTACCTACAATAGTGTTTCCCTCTTTCCCAAAAAAAAATTAAGTGTAGTTAATAAGTTTTCAAAGTAAATCATTCTATCCCATTCAATAGCCTAAAAGATGAATTTGAGCTTATAAAAGAAGAATTTCTTAGAAAAATTTTATCACAGTTATAATGATATGATATTTTCTCGCTGTTAAGTTTCAAATTGGTACAAGTAGCTTTTTGAAAAAAAATGTTTTCCATGTGTTATGTTTTTACTGGAAAAGATCCCATATTTTTTATTTTCATTTGTTGAACTCATTTACTAATAGAGTCTAATTACATTTGTTGCAAAACTACCAGTTTAATATCAGAATACCTAATGTATGCTTGCTGCGGTATTTAAAAAACATCATTAACTATACTAAAAACCTAAAGTCTGTTTTCTCTTGCAGTAATTATTTACTTTTTTATTCTCAATTTAATATCTCTTTTTCAACGATTAAAGACTCGCATGAAAGAAACAAGTTCAATTAAATAACAAAAATTTAATAAAAAATGTAACAGTAATTATATAAATAATCCCGAAACAATCTTAGCAGTATTGTTTTATATTGTTACACACAAGGGTGAGCTATAGGAAGTGTGTGTAGTGTTAAGAGAATACTTCAGTAGTAACAGTGGCTAACACAAAGTAGGATCATGGTATTTTTTGCCATGTCATGGTGAGCTGTCCAATAAAAGGAAAAGAAGAGTCCTGGATACATTTTCAAAGATCGTTTATTTATCGATTCTCGTCAGACTTTTGCTCCATATTGATTGCATGAAGTCCGCCACAGTGGAATGCCTCCTGGCACGTAAAAAATTTGTATTTCTCTGCACTGAGTGTAGTTTCACAGCCTTCGTTAACAACATTCAACATTTCTCATACGGTAAGTGGAGACAAAAAGTCAAACATACTTCAGAAAGAAAAGTATAAGGGGCTGTCTCTCAAATTCGGAAAATAACGGCAGCTGTCATCACTTTTTTTTTTTTTTGGGGGGTACATAAAACATCTCCAGTACTAATACCATAATATAATAAATAGTGGCTTTACTTCCATTCTAACTGCAAAAGAGGGTGAAGAAATGGAACCACGAAAAAGCCAACTACGACATATTTGAAACAAGAAGAGTACACGCAGCAGAAATCCATACAGAGGAAGCGAAAAAAAATCAATGAGCCCATAAGACCAAGAGATTCACTAATTCCCACTATTTATAAGCTAGCCACAGTTACACATTTCAACCAATGAAAATATCAAGGATCAAGAAATTTTAATTTATGGAGCACTTAGCACGAAGCCTTTATCTCCACATCATCAAAGATTAAAAATTTATCATCATCAAAAAAGGGGTTCAGCTAATAGGATAAAAAACTTGGAAAGCCAAAACAAAAGCTTTAAACGAATAAAGTCTTCACATGAGAAAAAGGTAAAAACACTTAAGAAGGACTTTTTAATTAAATTTTGCATCATACATTAAGGACCAGAATGAATTTAGAAAGGGCACTCGTATCATAATTTAGAATAGTGAAATAAAAAAAGGAATTCTTGATAAAATTAAAAGTACAGACATTGCAGAAGATAAGAAACAAAATGAAAATATTCCACACAGCGAGAACAACCAATCATAATATTTCTTTCACTTTGCAAACAAACTGAACTGAAATTAGTTGTCTGATGACATAGCTTGGTCATGTTATAAGAAACCTGTTGGCAAAAATATTGTCACCACATGAAATCCCTTATCTGGTTCTAGATGGCTGTAATAATCCAAGGACATAAATTTAATGTGACCTCATCAGATATTCATCACCCCTTTTTGAGGGAGGAAGGAAAGGAAAAAAATTAATTATGTGGATAAATAAAAATTCCAGTATCATGGTGCCAGCCTCATATAAAATCATGACATGATCCTTGATGGAACTAACAGTCTGAAATACATATTACGTACATAGATTACATTTTAAATGGAAAGATTTTTTTCATTTAGGTATACCCAAAACCATGCCATCTACACAAAAGAACAAATTTTAACAATAAAACATAGAACCACTTATTTTAATATTCCATAATTCAATACAAGCAACTTTTTATGCAAAATACATATAAGTGCATGATATAAATATGGTACATAAAATTTTCGAATATACCATATTGCAAGTACACAGTACAAAATTGTAAATGAAGTATTTCTATGATAAAGTAAAATGCAATTTTTGTACATCCCCAGTTACACTTAATTAGATAAATCACATACAGGATGAAAAAAACAATACAAACCATTATAATCACATCATACCACGAAATTTTGAAATCAAACTCTTATGCACTTATATATTAGGCACAATGTCGTTGAATCTCGAAATGATATTTAAGGGTGATCAAGCCTTAAACTCTAATGATTATGCTCACACAATCAAGAAATCAACAAAAGACACATAAAATTAAATTTCGAACAATATAACATATTGCATAACTTGTAATAATGTTCTATGATAGTAAAAGAAATGAGTGAAAAAAAAAAAGAATTAAGTGTACTGGGAGAATCTTTTAGGAGCCAAACGAAGGCAAGTGATGTGAATTCTATAAATGGCTGAGAAAAAATCATTGTCAAGTGCACAAATAACATAATTTACATCATTTACTTTAGAAGAAAAAGTTTTCGAAAACCTATGCTGGAATGTAACCTTAGATTTCACATACACTATATATCATTAACATTGAATGATCTTAATATGGCATTTTTCAAGTATTCAGTTCTATTTGCTTTATTCCAACATCTCATAGGCATGCTCATAACTTAGTTTTAGTTGTGTTAAAAGATCACACAAATAATATGATTTTTCCACCTGAATGGCCTTGGATCAGGATTAAACATATTAAAAGGTAATGATAATTTTCTTCCAAAATGCAGAATATTAGGAGAATAACCAGTTGAAGGATGAACAGTACCATTATAAATATTTTGATGGATAAGCAATGCATTTTCAAATGGAATACCTTTTTCATGAAGTATAAGCAAAGAGCTCTTGATGCAGGTATTATCATTTTGTGCATTATACTCAGGTCTCTGAGGAATACAGTGGGATAATGTAATATCCAAGGATTTGGTAATTGATTCAAACACCAATGAAGGGTATTGTGTGCCTAAATCAAAGATCATTTCTGGTCTTCCAGGTACATATATTGTAATAAATGTGCTGTAACAGTTTCAGCAGTGAGATTTTTGAGAGGGTCATAAAACAAGATGTTTAGAAAAATGATCTAGAATAATGAGATCATGTCCACAATTTCGTACAGGACAACTAATATAACACGGAAAAAAGTCATTTGGATATTTAGGTATTCTGATAGCTTTTAAATGGAGCCTGTTTAGGAGTGAAAGAATCTTGTATTTGTTACGTAAATGATACGGGAGGACAAAATTCTTTGTGTCATTATACATACCCTTCTAAAAGAATCTTTCAATAAGATTTCATACGTTTTCTGAACTCCAAGATGGGATATATGAGAAATTTCTCATTTTCACAGGATTTCAGTGCTAGTGGGACAACAACTAATTCAGCATTAGGCTCTAGTGTAGAATTGGGTGCCCCTTCGATTGGCGACATTTTTTTAAAAAGTTTGGTGATCTGGTTACCACGATAGTTTTAACTTTGTTTTAGCTTTCCGATTTTATTTAAATGAAAATAGATTGATGTGTACATGGACATATTTAAAGCAGTGTGCCTTGCCTAGGTTGTGCAATTCTAGGATGTTTTTTTAAGTAAAAACAGATGGGATTTTTAAGTAAAACATGGACACAGATCTTGTGCAATTTTTGACTTCTTATTTTGATTTTGTGTAGCGGCCATCGTGAAA